ATAACGTGCTTCAAAACAATATGTCCCTTGGCCAGGTATGGTGTCCCTTTATTTTCCCAAATACTTGAACTGGTTCAGTGACATGATGGACACCACTTGCGATGGTCAGGCTATGATATCGACCACTGATGATACTGTTCCTCGACGGAGTTCATTAAAACCACTAGACTTACTTGATCCCAGCTTTAGATGGTGCTGTCCTTTAGGTGTAGAGGTTACACATCCAGATCAGCTTTCGGGATGTCTAATATGCGTGCCCTACCATTTTCCACAGAGTGAACTGAATAGTCCATAGTCTTTGCTAAATCATCTGCAACCATACCGGCCGGGCCTTCGACATGTAGAAAAAAGGGTGATAGTATTTTTCCTAATTCTCCTCAGTATGTACAAAATATTTCGTGGAATACCTTGTGGGTTGCTGACTATTCGTGGTTCATGTCTTCCCAGACAGGCAACCCTACAAAGTATTTTAGCCGGAAATAATGCAGCCAAGTAGAGATAAAGAGGTTTCACAACCATTCCTCCCGTCAGAAGAGTGTCATCTTTATTATTATTTCCCTAGGTTTTGAAAGGATATGTGGCTTCAGCAGCACATCACCATTTCACTGTGTTCTCTGCCATTCTCTCCAACTGGTTCCATGACTGCCCACAAGCTCTCATCTCCAATTCATACAATTTTCTCTAAATCAGCATTGGACACATGCCCAACTCATCGTTTCCCTTTCGGGCTCCACTCGATAGCCTGTAGCCTGACGTCATTCATTAGTATCATCAGCGAATATCCAATCCATCTCCATTACTTTCCGCACATTTGTTTAGCAAAAGGTTCTTGGTTAGTCCACTACATTCCAGTGTCCCTTACTGCTTATTGTTCTTAAATGGCCATCTGATCTTTAGCACGGGAGTCACTCCCAAAGATTCGTAGAAATCAGACAACAACAGAATGGTCCAGTATGATGTCACAACCTCAAGAACCAACGCTATCTTGTTAGAATATTACAAGAGCACATATGCAACGAGAATGGAGACCTCGACAGTTCCTCCGATCTGCTCCCAAAGCAAGAGCTACTCCGAAACCCACGCCCGATAGCGGGCTGGACGAGCCCTAGCATCTCAGAGAAAAATGGTGAGTCTCTACTTGTTCTACCTGATGTCACGTAAATGTCAGAATGCCCATGTACAGCTGATCATTTACTGGCTGTTTTAGTAAGATTTCAAGGCGCTTACTCTATGACGTTCCGCATCACGGTTAGGGTCAAACAGCCCTACCACATATCTCGAGTTGAGTATGAATGCAATTGATATTACTTTGATGGAAAACACGTTAGCGCAAGTTCCTGAAGAACACAAAGAGGCCACACATGAGCTAAGTTCCGTCGCCAGCTTGAAAGCATGATTGAGGAAATGCTACAGAAGAAGACAGTTACAACATCAAATTCACCATGGGCTTCTCCTATAGTGTTAGTTAAAAAGGAAAATGGATCCCGTCGTTTAGGTGTTGACTACCAAAAATTAAATGCAGTGACACGCGAAGATGCCTATCCCTTGCCTCACACTGATAAAACTTTGGAAGCGTCATCTGCAGCTGTGTGGTTTACTACCCTTTACTTAGCTTCGAGGTATTGGTGGGCTGAAGTGCTCCTTTGTGACTACCAGAAGACTGCCTTTGCTATATCTACCGGGTTGTGTGAATTCCAGGCCTAAGTAACGCAGTAGCAACATTCCAAACATTAATGCACACAGTACTTAAGGGATTGGTCCCAAAAGTCTCCATGACATATTAAGAAGATATCAGTGTTCAGTCACACTATCGAAGAACACCTTCAAAGATTGCGCATGTTTTTGGGACGTCCGAAAGAGGTAGGACTCAGGGTTCAGGTCACTAAATGTTACCTAATGAGAACGTAAGTCACATTCCTGGGGTACGTCATCAGCGCAAATAGAGATCACAGTGACTCTGAGGAAGTCACAGCAGTTGAAGAGTGGCCCGTACCAAAGTTCTCAGATGAGTTACATAGTTTTCTGGGGGTTGCTTCTTATTACCCCCGTAATGTGGGAAACTTCTGGGATTCGCTAGTCTACTGACAAAGTTGACCGGCAAAAATATTCCTTTCGTATGGACAGTGGATAATGATCGTCCTTTTCAGTATCTGAAAGATTTGTTATGCTCGGCGCCTGCTTTAGCATTTCCAGATACATCCCTAAAAGCCGGTGAGTACATCTTGAACAGGTATGCTCTTCAAACAGGTATTGGAGCCGTATAATCCCAGGTAGGTGGAGATGGGAAAGAACATGTCACAGAATGTGGAGGCCGCACATTGAGCCGTGCAGAAAAAACTGCTGCACCGCTGGGAAAGAGGCGATGGCTACTGTTACATCAATTCGTAAGTATGAGCCTTATTTACCTGGTACACCGTTTGTTCTAGGAACGCATCAGAGCCCTTCAGTGGTTGAAAATCTTCCAGGACCTCGAAGGCTAAACCATAAGGTGGCAAAAATACCTCCAGGAATACGACTTTGAATGTGTGCACCATCCTGGCAAGCGACATGCTAATGTTGATGCGTCGTCCAGACGTTCGTTCGGACAGCATGGTCAATGCCTGTCCTTCGAGAAGACTGATATTTTTGCTATTTCGTTGGCAGGCTTAAGTAGAGAACAGATGGTGAGACTGAGCTTCTATATAAAGCTTTGTCGAATCAGACTAAAAGATCAGTCGAAGCTGATGTGAAAAGGAAAAGTTGGGATACGAGGTGTTTATGGGCACAGATAGTGACTTTGAATGGTGTTTCTTGTGTTCGGCCTGGTCCCAATTACTTGAGAAGAGATGTAGTCCCTCAGTAACAGCGATTATGGAAAAGGTATATTATGGCTGCTGCAAGCAGTCGCACAACGTTATTGGTGGCCTCGGCAACGCTGCGAAGTTCGAGACTTTGTCCAGAGGTGTACAACATGTGGTAAGGTAAAGGACTCACAGAGACAACCTACAGCATCACTTATTAATATGAAGGCTGGATATCCCAACGAATTAGTCGGCGTGATTAACATGAAACCGTTACGACAGACCACTAGTGGGAATAAATACATCTTGGTTATGATAGATTATTTTACTAAATTGTGGGAAGCTGTGCCCCGTGGGAGAATTGATGCCTCTACAGTAGCCAGATCTATGTTCGACTGTTGGATTGTCCGTTAGGGTGCTGTGGGATATAATGGCAGTGGACTAATAGGATGATCCTTTGGCCGCATCAGAAATGGTAATAAGAAGACATAGCCAGGTACCACAGTTACTCACGGGAGGAACTCGAGAGAGCACAGCATCGTCAGAAACATTACCATGATAAGATGCGATGGGGAACCCCATTCGATACAGGTGATAAAGTGCTGCTGCGCCAACCAGGAACTTTCAATTAGAGTTGAAATTAAGCTCAAGCACAGTGGACAGGCCCACATGTGGTGTGTTGTCAAGTAACCGACAACACACATGCAAAACGAGAAAACAAGAACAACAGTACGGAGAGAATGATAGTGCACTTCAACAGGTTGATATGGATCAGACAAACCAGACAGGAACCGAGGAGCAATTGTCCTTCTGTTAATAGATATAATAACCACGTACCAAGGGATAAATCCCTTAGGACATCTTCTTGGAAGCGGGTAGGTCATGCAGTGGTTCGAATCCTGAAAACGGTGTTAGTTCAAAAGCAGGTGGCCGCTGAACAGTGACGGCCCAGCTCTTTTATGTACATAATTCTTGTGTTTTTCTATTGAGACGATTGTTTTTTATAAAGCGTTTCAACCAAATCTGCATTCTATTTTTCATCAATATTTTGTCCCGGCATGCTTGATATTGTTTGTGCTGTTTATTATAAGCGCATTCAGCGAAGTATTTTCCGATCATCTCTCCGATAATTTCACTCTTTCGATTTTATCGTTCGTGTATTTTTCCTGATTCATCATGATATCCGTTAATCTCAGCAGCATAGCTATTCGACGTAATAACGAATACTCACACAAAGTAGACTATTACCTTATAAGGGACTGGGATTGACATAATAAGCAGAGGCGAGTATTTGGCAAGTATGGCGAATATGTGGCAAAATGTGCAACCATGAGCATTGGACAAGCAAGCACGAGCTCCTACGAACTAGAGGGAATAACACTTCCATCAGTTCAGACTCACTTGGACTTAGTTAACCACAACTTAAAAACTACAGCACACTGCCGTGCGGTGGCTGCACGTAGTTTCAGGTCATTATGGGCAATTCGCAGAGCCTTCACTAGAATCACCAGAGATATGTTCACCTCCTCATATACATCTCTGGTGATGTCAAGACTGGAAAACTGCATCCAGGCCGCCAGCGCTTGTCTGAAAGGGGACTCACACATTCTAGAAAGGGTTCAAAGGAAGGCAACACATATGGTTCTCGGGATGACTAATTTATCATTCGAGGAAAGACTAGACAGTTTAAATCTCTTCTCCTTGTCATACCGTAGGCAGAGAGGAGATTCAATCATAATGTTTAAAATTTTAAATAATTGCTACGGACCTGACCTATTCTCTCTTTTCCTTCCCACCAGGTCGGAACACCTTAGAGGATATAACAGGAGAGTCCAAAAGCCAAGAAGAAATCGTATTGCTGTTGAGTACTGATTCTCACACCGAGTCATAAACTCTTGGAACCGACTCCCAGAAGAAGTGGTGTCTGCAACCTCAACTGATTCGTTCAAGAAGGGTTTGGACAACCACAGAAATTTGTTTGAAAAGGATTAACATAGGCTCCTCAACCAATAAATCTGAAATCTAAATCTGATATTCTTTTCCATGATACAAATGAATGCACGCCAAAGTAACTGCAGTAACTGCAGCTTTAGGGTGAATAGGTATATGAGGAAAAACTTTTCGAAGAGATTCTCAGTAGAAAACTGTTCTGCAGTTCTCTCTAACGCAAAGTGAAGTTTGCTGCTTTGTTTAATTATATGAAGGTGAGTTAGAGGATGCGGCGTCTATTTGAAATTTGTTTACTTGACCGTGGTGATGTTAGAACATAACGGTCTTCATGAGATATTTCATCCATCCGTCTCATGGATTATGAAATCTGGTGTCCATCTAGAATACACACCGGAAGATACACTCAAAAGCGCTATTTTTATTAGTGGAGACGATGGTTCTGTTGCAGTAAAAGAACCCATAGTAACCGAAGTTTGCAGCAGTAATGATGACCTTAAAGTTGGCATTTAATTTGTAATAAAATTTCACTCGCCGATTTTAGATAATTAACTCCAAGTTTAACTCGGTGACTGCGGATGAGACTAATTGTGCAAACGCTGGGGACAGCCTCCAGAAGCCTGATACTCCTCATAATAATATTGAAGAATGTCCCAAGGAAGTAACAGACGAGTCAAATGATCCGCAACCAGGGTCAGCGAATTGCTGCCGTGGTATTGGAAGTGACTCAGGCTGCTTGGATAAGGTAAATGCAACGGTAAGTAAGAAACTCAGTAGTGGAATCTTATTCTCTTCAAAATCACTGCTTTTTCTCGGCTAATATATGTTTTATGTTAACGTCTGACTTCATGAACGCCCATAGCATTCCAGAAGTTATATTTGTATTTTTGTACTGTGAAAACAGTGTGAATTTCAATTATTTTGTCAGGTATACTTCGACATCTGCCCATGAACCGATGCATGCACGGACTGCATACATGCAGTAAGTTTAATGGGACTAGTTCATGGTCTGTGTTGGTTTTTCCAATTCTCTGTTGCTTTCGTTATTACTGGCTGTAAGCAAAATTGTAATATAGCTCAAGAGGTTACTATACATGGTCATTTCAAACTCAGGCATCTTGAACTGTCACATAGTTATAGAATTTCCTCTGAAGACTGTGGGGTGACTCTAAATTGTAGCAGCCCGAAACGAGAATACCCAATAAACGCATTAATGAGCTTAAGCTACTGGTAAGATGAATCTGCAGTATATAGGTGGAATTATAGATGCTGTGCACGAATAACACAGCAAATTTCATCCAAATCTAGTATTTAAGTACTGCTTAGACAACAGGCTCATTGAAAGGGATGAAACGTGTAGTTGACTGTGATCCCTGGGCTATGTTCACAATGTGGGCAATCATACGGACGATTTCGTGAATCCATTAGATAGAACCCACACAAATTCCATCGAGTGTAGTGTAATTGATTGTGATTTAGAGTACACTGAAACTGTCGTTTAGAAAATGGGGATTTGCTTGCATTATATCACAACATAAGCTATATAACTCATTCTTATATGATATGCTGATAAGTCTTTCAGACTGCCAAGTTTAAAGGTAAATGTGCGGGAACAAACAATTCTTGTACAGTGGCATCTAATCATATCGTTGTCGTCTCACTAGTATTCCTATTTATCAACTTACTGACTTTCTGGTAACAAGGTAATGCATCGGTTCAAGTTGACTTATGCCGAAGAAATACATTAACCGAAAAACGAGTGTAATGAGTTTACAATGGAGAAAAAATATATGGGAGATAGGATTACTAGATGAAAACCCGTGATGGACTTCAAAAATCGAGTTAATACATCTACATTAACCCACCTCCCGTAAAGATAAGTAATTTGGTATCCTTAGGAGAATATATCTAATGGGTGTAATATGTTGCAGCAAGATATTCATATGATGTCTCCACAACTGTTAGCAGAGAAAAATTGCAGTAGAACACATGAAATGCTTTATGTAACAATGTTCGTGCTATGAGCTACACAAACGGCACTTTGCCATTTACCTGGTGTTTTAGGAGTAAATATCCTATCCACTAATTGAACAAAGCAACTGTCAAATCCAATTGTTCTTGATCTCCAATTAATGATGACCGCATCCTGTCATTTTGAGCCACTGCCATTTTCGATTTATAAATACTGTTTTTGAAGGTTTTGGCAACTGTGTATGTACAATACACTTTTCAAACATTAGGCTTAATTCTGAGGTCAATAAACAGAGACATTAGTTTGTAATCTTCTGAAACGCTCACTGCATATAAAACAAAAGTAGTCTTAACTACAAATGTGCGTATTTAGTAAATTACTGGAGAGTATACATGTGGACAGTATTGCCAGGATGTAAAAGAGTTGACATGCCTTTTTGGCTCTTCAATAGCTTTTGTCCCTGCAAATGTCAGCTGTGCTGACGTAAATTTTGTTACTTCAACTGATTTTCACAGCTTTTATACCTGTTTATCTTATGGAAGAGTAGAACTTGAACTGTAGTAAAGTTTAGTTCTCTTAGTTTTTTTTGTAGCTCTGTCATTGCGATGTATGCATAACTACATAATGGAGTAAGGCAAAGTAACGGTTTCATAGACTAATTCAGCTAGAGAAAGGTCGGCTATTGAATTAACCTTCTAGCATGTACCATCCAGATAAAATCTATTACTACAGAAGAGAATGAAAAATTATATATCTGTAATTATGCATATTAAATCATCTCCACATTTTCCTATCTAGCACTTAGAGAATTACGAGTTTACCACCCTCATAAACGACCTCCTACAGCGGAGGGTGGGTAGACTTCAGTTCTACTCTGAAAGTGTTCTAGAGTGGCGACGCCTTCATAGCCTCTGCCACCTCTGCCTTATTCACAGCCTTCATGCAACAGGGAATGTTCCTTACATGAGCTACGGATCGAATGAATTATGAACCTGTTTTGGTCACTGTCAACCATGAAAACATATCTCCTGACGCCGCTCCACTGTTTTGTGCATCAGACTTCATTTCAAAGGCTTCTATCTCAGCGTTTGGATAGTATCCCAAACACTTTCTAAAGTTATCAGTTGTAGTGTAACAACAGAAGACAAGGGCAAGGCAACAGATCGTTTATTAAGGAAAATCAACACATATTTATAGATTTCAATGTAAATTATTGTTAGTAGAAAATACAGTCTTTTGATTGGTTGTCTCTCACAGAAAGTTAACGTTGCATCTCTTTGTGGCTGTGTCAGATCATCCATATGCTAACTGTATCCGCCTACGCAAAGCCTTTGTTCTCATTTTCTCACGACCAATATTGGGGACATAAACATTGACGTCAATTACTGTCTATCAACTTTGGCTAGCAGCCAGCTCTCACCACAGTTGAACACGTAACTAGTTATATGGAATGGCTAACTTCGGAGAATAAGAGAGAAATCGAAGTTTAAATGTATGTCAGGCAAATCTCCTTCCACCTGACTTCCCACTTACGAACCATGAGACAACAACTTTATGAGAGATTATGTGTAGTGCGCATCCCTTGGTGTCCATAATGTATCACGCTTGTTTCCAATAATACTAATAAATACTTTTATTCCTACAGGATAATGATAGCCTTTTACGATTGAATTCCTAAATGCGTGTTCTGCAATAAATGTAGCTCACTGGCTTGGCTTAAGCACTCCACCTGAAGCCCATATATCCTGAGTTTTAGTCTCTCTGTACCTACTTCAGCCTAGGTAACTGGGTAGTGTTATCAACCTTCACATAATATTTGACTCATAGCCGAATGCATGGAAATTCTGTTTCAGGTAACTGAATTCAAAAGAAACAAATCATGTATATTGTTGCGTGATCCTTTTAGTGTTATGTTGTACTTTTTTTTGTATAATTGAATCCTAAATAGTACAGAGAAAATGTATTAAAAGTGTTGTGAATATCAAAAGGTTGGTGCATATTTCTTCTTCATGTTTACAGTTATCTCCAACATACGAGCTGGTTAATGGACGTAGTTTAGTTAAAATGTGTAACCAGCCACATATCGAAGCAATAACTGTTACCTGGAAAATATCTTTCGTGTACTAGGTTATGAGTCACGCTTATTTTGTGAGGGCTAATGATACTACTCAGTCACATAGTTTGAAGTTGATGGAGTGGGATTCAAATTCTGAATCCATTGGCTGAGATCCGATTGCTTAAACCGATGAAACACTTCTCCGTGTCTGACGGTTGCATTAAATATTAGATAGATGCAGCTTTTTGTAGTCAAAACCAGCTTTTTGTCTTTCAAAGTCAGTATTATGTCTTCATAAAAAAAATGGGAGGAACCTGAAAGAAACAACCTCCTTTACCTACCGGCCTATGAAGCATCGTCTCAACTACAGGCGGAACTGACGAGAATATCAAAGCAAGAATCGGATAAGTAAGACAAGCTTTCATTACTCTCAAGTCTGTGTGGAGGTCAACAGCACTCAGTATCAAAAATAAGATCCAGATTTTCAACTCCAATGTGAAGTCAGTGCTACTATACGGGTCAGAGACTTGCACTGCGCGTCAGAAAGAGCATCTCAAACAAACCACAGACCTTCATTAACAGTTGTCTTCGCTCAATACTCAAGATCAGATAGCCAATTAGAAAGATCAGCAATAGAGATCTCTGGGAGCGAGCCAACCAGGAACCGATTGTGAAACAAATAGGCAGGAAGAAATGGACATGGATCGGCCATACTGTGAGGAAACCATCAAGTGACATCACTAGACAAGCCATTGCTCGAGTGGAACCCGAAAGGGAAGTGGCGAGTTGGTCGTCAGTGCGAGAGTGACTTGGAGAAGGTCATGTGAAGAGGAGATGAAAACGTGTGGGCAGACTTGGAGCCGGGTGAGGACTCTAGCAGAGAACAGAACGCAATGGAGACGCACGGCTGAAGCCCTATGTTCCTGTAGGAATTAAAGGATACAATAATAATAATAATAATAATGTCTTCATAAAAATATACCTGATTGTATTTATACTCATATGGACTAGCAACTGTCGTGTTGTCTGAAATTTGGTTAAATCAAATAAATCTGAATTTACTCCAATTTCTTATTTTTATTTTACTTCTTTACGTTCCGGGTGGAACATAGGGCCTCAGGCTAGAGATTTGAAGTTTCGGTAGCGGTGGTTTGATTTTTACGGGGTGAAACTGCTAGCCTTACGCCCAACCTCCACATTTTACCGGCCTCACAACCGGCTTAAGGAGGTTTAGGAGTGTATCGGTCGGGAATAGAACCCCGGACGTTTGGATAACGTTCTACTGCTTTACCATCGAAGCTTTGAACTTACTGGTTTGATTGCAGGATAACTAATCATTTATTTTTTTCCTTCCTTGTAGGACGGAGATGGTGGTTCTCTGTCTGTAGGTGTTAAGCATCCAACTAAGCGTTCTGTGATTCCAAAGAAACCAGCGCCTTATCTAAAACGACGACAAGGTGTATCTGCTTGGTGCAGTAAAATACGAAAACAAGGATTACCAGTCAAAGAACCGGCAGGTGCAGTGATTAAGCAGCAGCAACAGCAGCAGTGTATGAATTCACCGCGAACACCAGTCGTTCAAGAGTCTGTACGAAGTGAACAGTCTAAAGTGAGTAACTTATAGTATCTTGTAAACCTATTTTTGCCTTTAATGAATTGATGTTGGGCATGCACCCGACATCTCCCGTCAATTATGTATATCTTAGTGTAGATAAGACTTTGCTTTTATGTTTTTGCTAAAATTCGTACTTCAGGACATATATTTATTGGTATCTTAAAACTCCCTACTAAGTCATATAATAGAAGAAGCGTTCAGCGAAGAGTTGTTGTTTTCCACGATATCGTTCTCAAGCTGTATGACTGCATAGGTATATAGTTCATCTTCATAGCAACAGAAGAGATAATCCCAAGAGTCAATAAAACCGTAAGTTTTTGATAACAATTTCTTGATATAAAAAACATCAATGAGTTAAGACTAAAATGTAAATAAAATAAGTAAGTAATTATTAAAACACAGATTTGGCACATTATGTAGGCATCAAAAGATACGCTGCACAAAATCCCCTAATTTGTGCTAGGGCTGCGATATTGTCCGGACACACAGACCGAAGCAGGTGGTTGTCTTAAAGGACCACATCCTAAGCCCTTCAGTTGAATCCCCATCCGCAAGGCAGTGGAGCGGCGTCAGGAGCTACGTACACATGGTTAATGGTGACCAAAACAGATTCTCAACCCTATTAGATACATTCGAATTCTGGAGCCCATGCACACTATAGGTTGAGAATCACTTTTCCTGCTCCCCTATGTAGGCAACCTGCGTGTCCATTAGTCCCGTTGTATTTGCCGAACTTTCGCACTCACTTTTTCACTTTTGTAAAGAACATCCTCACCGCGTAAAAGCGGTGAGTAGGACTCGTGGTCACATGAGGGCATTTCAGAAGAAAGATCGAAGTTTACCCATCCTTGGCTGTACCAGGTCAAGTGCTAAGAGTCAAGCATTGTCTATTTAGAGTACAGTTTGCAAGTTTAGACCAACACCCCCGACCACTTCTCTACACCCACCAAAAGTAATTTAAATTGAGTGACGTAACAGAACTGACTGGAGATTGGGGGTTGGGGGTCAACTGAAATCGAAAGAGAATCAAGTTGAAATCTGTGTCTTGAGGAGTGAAAATGTAGTAGTGGGGAGGGCCAAAATAATAAAGTTTAAAAAAATAATTGAAACTAAGATTAACAAAGATAACATATCAAGTATACAGACAAATTATGTCTAAGATCAGTGTGACTGAACAAAAATTTATTCTGTATTCAGGCTGAGTTCAGCATCCGGCAGTCCACATTGTGTTAAATCTTGAAATTCACTGTTACATTGTCTTTTGCTTGTTTTTATCTTTCTTTAAATTTCATCCAACTTAATTATTACAGGCACAAAGTTCAAAAACTAATTTACCAAGACGAGTGAAAAGTTCTGTCAAAAATCAATCATCTAACAAAAATGTAAATGTTCCATGCCGTGGATATAAACAACCAGATCATATAAATAATTCAGAATCTTCAGAGAGTAAAAAGGATAAAGTTGGAGATGAAGAAGAAATGAAAAATAAGGATGATAAAGAAAACCGAGGTAATAACTACACAGACGATGGCAATAATAATGATGATTACTCCCAATGTACTACACATCTTCTAGCCAGACCAATGATGATAAATTCACGCGATTTAGAAAAATCAATCAATCACTTGTCTGTTGAATTAATGCATACCAGTTTATTCAATGAATCACATAAAGAAGCTAGAGATTTAGAAGAATTTGAATTACTGGAAGAATTTGCTGAAACTTCATCTTTTCCCAACCTGACTACATCATTCATCTCAAAGTTGAATAAATCAAAGTGTGGTTTGCATAGAAGTAGTCAACAAAAACAGACAGTTGAAGCACTGAAAGGAAATCAGTCCACATCTAGGGATGATTCTGCAGTCGCATTAAATGATAAGTAAGTGAAATTACTATTACTTATGCGATAAGCTTGATCTGAATGATTTTTACCAAAAGGTTTTATTCCTTCACATTCAAGCTTAAGCTTTGAAGTTTCAGTAGTAGTGACTTTTTTTTGCGTGCTGGGGCTGTTAGCCTCGTGCCTAGCCTTCCCTCTTTACCTGGCTTACTACCGGTTGAGTGAAGCTAATTAGTGCATTGGCTGGGGATTGAACCTCGAACCATATGCATTGTTGTTGGCTAGGGTTCTACCGCTGACCCACTGGATGATTTCATTCAATTGCCTATTCTTTTTTTTGTGTTTTGAGTTTCCACACATCATCAGAGAGATGTAACTCATTGGGCTTTAAGCACTGTCATCATCCTTCACACAACAGGTGTGACTCCATAGTCGTCTAGTACATGGAATGTCACCTGTTCTGGGTAACTAAGCCCTAACCACTTTCTAAGATTATGATTAATTCAGCAACTGGCTTGTTACGTGGAATAGCTAACATTAAAGAATAAGAGGGAAATCAGACTTTACATTGTTAAATTTTGTGTGGAGATAAACCATAACAGCCTTTGGCAGATAATCACATTACTAGTCGTGAATGCAATGTAGGTTTTGCTTCAAGAGCTTTCTGCCAACTCGTTTTATCTACGATTGATGGCAAGTGTTAACGGTCAGATTAGGGGTAGAAGTCAGAGATGGAATTAGTCTTACGGTTAGGTTTAGGAGTTACTTTAAGGATCAGGGGTTCGAGAAACACTAAATCTTCCCACTAAGTAGTCTAACTGTCTAAATATGCAATTTTTTCAACGGATTCAAGGTTTTTTTGCAGTCTTTCTTTCGCACTGCGTTTTCGGGGACGTTTGGTGGCTGCTACAGGGTATCTTCACCAATTCTCCTTCCATATGACTGGAAAATTGGCATGCCCATTAGAGTTGATAAGTGTCATTTCTAGTTACCACAGGATAACGCATTAGTGATATCATACTCCTTCCTTTAGAAGTATCATTTCACCTTTAGGCCACATCAAAGTGTACATTATGTTTGCATTAGGTTAACTAGTCAGTACACATTTACAACGCAGTTTTACCAGTAGGAAGGGTTGTTCAAGATATCACAGTTTCTTGGGTCATTACAATATACTAACCCAACTGTTACCTAGAAGTATCAGTTATCTATCAAGCATTCTTGACAACTTCCATTGAAAAGTTTCCAATTATCTTACTCCTAGGTTTTCTGCTAAGACATGTGTAGTACTCCGTTTATTTTTGTTCTCTAGAGTGGCTGAATACATTCACATCTAAGCTAGCTGGTAGTCATCTTTGTTTCAGCCTAAATATGTCATCTATACCGTAACTTCAAATTCTATGTAGAGATATAGATAATTAGCTTTCTCACTTTACTTTCAACTGGTCCTATGTACGTCTGTTTGAGCGATTGGGCATTACTATCAGTACTCATAATAAGCACGGCTCATAGTCTGGTAAGTAGGAAGACCTACTCCTAGCAACTGAGTTGTAAATAAAACTTGAAAACCCAGTGATAAAATCAGTAATACTGAGACATAAGAGTACTCGCCATTGAGAAGATTGACGCCAACAAGATTTTTCACTAGGTATTCATAAATTGTAGTAATATGATGACTATGAAGGCGTCATCCAGTGCTGCAGTCCGAGACGTTACCACTGGGTGACGCCGCTTCGAATCTCAGAAGGGACATGGGTTCCTTCAAAGTTGCAGATACGCCTTGCTGACTGGTGAGTGCCAACTAGCACGAAACCTAGGTAAGGCAAGGCTTCCTGTGTCCTATTGCTTCCAACTATGTAACATCATCAAGTCAAAGTGCACCATGACGGCAAGCTACCTAGAATGGTGGCCACATTGCAAACCTGACTGATAGAATTCAATCTGCACCAAAACAAGGACTAGACGTATAAAAGTAGTTACTAGTGTCCAATCAAAGAACTGTAGTCTGCAGTAAATCATTCCATGGAAGTTCGTTCTATTTGTGACATGCTCCAAACCCCGAGTCACTGCCCCCTTCAAGACAGACCAAGCGGTATGTTGAAAGCCATTCAAAAATGCAAGTGAGCACATATTGTTCTTCAACAATGTGAATAGCTGGCTAAAGGAAAGTTTAACTGGGTAAATTTAACGCATTGTACTCTGTCGAAAATTAGGTAGCCCATAGATTTAAGCAGGATGCCGTTTACTGGTAAATAAAAGATTTTCCAAAAGTAGTCAGCATGCAAAGTAGTTTGGGCGTTGATTCATCCTTTAAAAAAAGACGTGTCAATCTGCTTATTTGACTCTTTTTCCGTGTTCTTTTTTAGACAACTGAGTACAGTTGCACAACATCATTCAGAACACCACCACCACCACCTTACAAGTAATTATAATCAACCAGTTAACAATCTTAAAAAAAATATGACTACTAGTCAGTTTACCTCCTCCTCTTCGTCGTCGTCGTCGACAAACGATAATCTACACAATGTTGACAGTATACTAGCAAATACAATAGCTCCAGTATATAAAGAATGTAAAGTAACCCCACATTTTCATATTATAAAAGCACCATGTGAAGAAATTCAATCATTGTCATCGACAACACTGGTCAATCAAAAGCAAACAGAAAAATGTCATGATGATAATGATGATGATGATAATAATAATAAGAATGAAATGATTTCAACATTTCAACAAATCAATGCTTTACCAGCATCATCTGATCCTCTTCAACAGTGTGATCATTATGATTTTGATGATGCACATTCATGGAGTTTCAGTGCTTCTGATTTAAATGATATTAAATTATCATCTGGATTCGATTTCTCAGAAACATCACTTACAAGTTGTTGTGGTAAGATGAACAGGATTTTATTTTTGCATTGATTTATTCATCTCTTTTTATATATTAAGGTGGCGTTAGTGCTGAGTAGTAGTGACGTTTATTGTGTATATCACTTCTGCCCTGTGACACGGCAGCAGGAAGCGCGGTCGTTGTTAATCCGGGCCCCGACCGATCCGGCATGATATTTTGTGATTTACTTTGAGTCATAGCATTGGGTTGGGTAACTGCTTTTTGTCTAACCGCTATCCAAACAACCTTTCTGGCATGGTAGGACCTCAAGCGACATAAGTCTCAGCCAGTATAGCTTGTTGGGTCATTGCGGTGTCCAAGCCCGACCACCACGTCAAGGTAGCAGCTTTCGGTCGGGGTTGACTGTTTTTGATCATAGATGTCTACGATGTCTACGTTAGGTAGCATAATAAGGTGAGTAATGTTGACGTTAGGCGTAGAGTGTTGGGCAAAGAGGGAAAATCAATCGACGAGGCTATAAAGTTACATAGATTGAGATGGCTAGGTCACGTGCTGCGCATGCCTAACCATCACCTCCCCCGACGGGCATTACTAGTTGACATCGGTGCAGGTTGGAAAAGAGCAAGTAGTGGTGGCCAAACAAAAACATGGCCTCATCAATCCATGAAATCCTTGACAGTTAAACTGAGTCAGGTAAGGAGATGCAGACTTCTGGGTTGGGGCCCTCGGGACTGTAAGAATCAATGGCTAGAGACAATAGGTGACATGGCTCAAAATCGTTGTCAATGGCTTACGCAGATGTATTCAGTCTCTGTAATCTTTCGTATTCCTTTCTACCATTACTCATTCTGTTTCACTCTTATACTTGTCAAAACTGTATTGATTCTCTTCAGTCATTTTCTTGTCTACCTTTGTGTGCTATTTTGGAACGTGGCAACTGGAACTGTTGCACTTCTGTGCCAAGTTCTATGTTGAATCCAGACAGACAGACAGCATATTGTGTATATCGGACGTGGGTGATGACCAGGAAAGCTTGGTGTGCTTTTGAAAGGGTGTGCGTGTATGGGTGGGTGGTTGTTACTTCCCGATTGCTCACACTGCACAAAATCAATTTCTTCTTAAAGTACCTAAAACAGAGAAAGAGCATTAATGTAGAGTGATCGCAGTGTTCAGGGAGTAACTGCTTAAGGCCGGTCACACACGGCGTGTTTAAAGTGGTTGTTTTGGAATTGCATATTAGAATTTTAACGCCATGATGTACAATTTCCGCGGTCGACTTTTTTTCTCTTCAAAGTGGAGAGGCGGGAATAGGATTGCCAGCCACACGTTCAACTTTCCATCTTTACCGGGCTTGCCACCCGGTGGTTAAGTAGACGATGACGTCCACTGGTGTGTCGGCTGGAAGTCGGACCCGTACCTCTCGTGCTGTTGGCGAATATTCTACCGTTGAACCACCAATCCGCGTTAGATAATTTAATTCTATTCCAACCAAGTGGCTCAATAGATGTATATTGTAATATTCGTCAAACAGACAAAATACAGTGATTCAAACAAAAATAAATATTGTCACTATAACTATGCAGAACTCAGCAGTCCTCGTATATCAACGCAGCTACTGAAGGACAGAAGTTTAAGTTGCCACACTTTATGCATCACACCAAGGTAGACAAATAAGAGACGAAAAAAAGATATTCGAAGGAACCATGATAATCAGAAACGGGCAGGAGAAAGAATAGTAATGTAGGAAAACACTAGACATTAATGGACATGTGAGATTACAAAGAGTGAATGCATCTACACCATTGAAAATGGTTTTGAATCTTATCACCAACATTCTCCCGCCATTGGATCTTAGAGTCCCAAAAAGCCAACTAGACAGTCTACACCTCCCTATGTGGTTGGCTTAAAACAACTGTCGAAAGACTTCATAGACTGATGTTAGGTTTTAGTTCGACCAGCCTAATTCTTCTCCAACCTAATCCCACTGTCAGTTAATATTGTTGGTCGAGGAAGGCGATGGCTTGTCGTGCACAAAAAAGAGTCCTAGGCATTTCAATCGATGTAGCTTCACCACGTCATCGATTAACTCCCCTTGCTTACCTAGCACCCTAACGCCTAGCCTTAATAGGGCTCACCAAGTAGCATCACTTGACACGGGAGATAGAAATGTAACATAAAAGTGCAAAACGTGATTTCGTTTCCTCAACTGTCATTACTATCAAATCCCTTCCCCTAAATGTCACAAAATTTAAGATTATTATCTGTACCACGGTGTTCACAAAATGGTTTTTTTTTTCAAAAAGGGATGTGCTGTTAATTTTCTTTTTTGTAGTTGTATTTGTGTGTTCCAATTCATGTATAACCCCCATCCAGGCAATAATGAAAACAAAACACGTAGATGAGCGAAGAGTCTCTTTTCGGCGAATTCATTTTCTTAGCTGTACAATCGCAAATATATATGTGTTATTTTGTATGTATGTGTACATTAAGTTTGTCAAACAAAAATACAACTGGTTATAGTTATTTTAACTAAACAGGTGAAGATTGGTAATTGGAGTTACGTAATACAAAATCAGTCAAGAAAATTAGGTGTTAGTGAAATTAGGGTATTAACAAAGGTGATGAGTTGTCACAAACAGTTATTAAAAAAAGAAGTTATGAATATGAATGAATAGTTTGATGAGTGAGTTTTACTCAGGATGCGCATAGGAACAAAGTAGATAGTACGAAATTACGTAAGAGTTCTACATGAATACAAGAATTATAAGCAATTAAAGGACAGGCAAAGAAACAAAATTAAGTCATCAAAATCAAAAAATCACTTCCACTACCCAATACTGAGTTATTATAATATGCTGTTTATTTTCCTTTCTACTTCTTGGTATTTTTTTTTGCATTTTTAAAAAAATTATTTCGTGTTTTTCCTGTTTTTTCGCTGTTGATGTCTTTATATTTATTTTTTTGAAATACTCCTTTTAAATGTTTGATAAAATTAGATGCAAATATTGTAGATATGTGCTGAAAATTCCACACTGTACCACTAGTGCTGTTTCTGGAATAAAGCAAATTATTATTATTATTATTATTATTATTATTATTAAATCAAATCAAACAAGTTGTTACCAAGACAGTAGTATTTGTGTGTAGCTAATTGGCATAAGCAGTCTACTTTCAACCGATGAGTTTCGTGTTCGAATCCAGCCAAGCGATACATAGAAAGCCCAGGACTGGGTTTCTCTGCTATTGGCATGCACCAGAAAGGGGTTGTGTCTGCAAAATCGTATGCACTGATATCCTCCTGGTGGTCGGAATCCGCGTCACCCACCGTTGCACCTAGAGACACTACTGCTGAGTTATTCGGGCTGACCTATATATATATATATATATGTATATATATAATATTCACTTCATAATAGTATCTTACCTTTCTTAAAGGTGATCTGGGAAATCAGCCGAATGAATCATTAACAAAGACAACAACAACAACAACAGTGAAGACAACACGTCCCATCCTGATACCGGAATCGAATAAATCCTCTTCATTTATACCTAATCATCAAGAAGTAGGAAAGGTGAAAAGAATCACTTTCAGTGATACAGTAAACCATAATACTTGTACATCATTTCCTCAAAATAAAAAATCAATTCAATCTCATAATGAAAATGACGCCATCATTTCTACTAATAATTCGAATGAGCTATTAAAAGAACACCTGGTAGGTTTTATGTCATTTCTAATATATACATTTTTTTTCTCGCAATAGTATTGATTAGTAGTACTCAAAGTAGATTTATTCACCAGTCAAAATCATCTAAAGGATTACTTGACAGACGTTTCACCCTAGTTTCAGTTTCTTCAGCAGTGTGCATTCGTGATCAACACTGCTTCATCGAAAATCAATTGTAGAACAGCAAAGTTACAAAGTGAACGCGTTACTATTGCACTCTGTGTTTGAAATTCAGCAGCTCAAGATACACTGACATTTGTTTATGGGATAAATGGCAATCAGCTAGCCAAGTAACCTGGTACATCTTGGTGTTCTGTCTCTTGTACAGCCAATGCAACTCAGTAATAATCAGTACTAAGTCTTAAACTAGATCGAAACAGCAGTTCCATTCCCCTTTAATTTTTCAATGGCTTCATTCACTGATGATAGATTGTGATGAAATCTTCCTTGGAACTAGTTAAGTCTTCAAAAACTCCTGGGTTTTTAAACATTAGCAGTATTTAAGATAAAATAAACGGGGCAGAGTAGATTCAGACATAAGTGGGACTGGAAAATGTTTGAAAAACATAAATGAAAAGAAAAAACTGGAAGTAGTAAGGCGTAACGAAAACGTAGGTGTATAGCCGTCTTCTGCGTTAAATGCCTCGTCTGCAGTTTTCCAATATAGACTATAATTCTCTTTAGAGGATAATGACTGTCAGACACCACCAAAAAGTTTCTTTCACACTCCTGTTTCATGTTAGTTAATGAAATCTTATGGCTAGAAGTGAAATAATTTAATTGCCTTTTATTTATATAGCAATTGAGAATTCTTCAGGTTAGTATTATGCCTGTTATTTGGTGGATGGTAAGTAGCAGTGGAATCCAGGATGCGCATTTCTTCCTATTTACGACTCGTCAGCTACTTACTTACTTACGATCCCCAGTGAAAGATGATTTTCACTTACTGAGACTTAGACCCAGCTCCCATCTTTTCAAACGCCAAAGTATCCACTGGACCACTTGAACATCGTCTTCTACGACAGGTATAAGCGTGGTAATCTTCAGACATCGTTGGAGCGTCCGTACTAAGAAGTGACACATTAACAGAGGTCGAATATTTTGGAAATACAAGATTAACTTTAAGAAAATAATTGAAATAACAGAGAAGCTATTTACCTCAGCTGCGTAATTTAATTGGCAAGCTTTCTTTGTCCTTCTAGACAACATCTTCAGTGCAAGCTTTAGTATGGAGTAACTTTATTTGAATTCTCTATGAATGATATAAGTGTGTCCCCTGACAACCTTAGTCGTGATTGGTTATTTATTTATAGTGGTATTGTAACAACAAAAAGCAATACCCGGAAACCAAGATATATTTCCGAGTGATCAAACCGCTATCTATATATATACAGTTTTATATTCTCTAACCATTCATTCAGCGTGTGATTTTGGCATACACAATAAACGATATGAAATAAAATGTTCAAATGCTTAGTATTCTGCTGCTAACATATTATTAGACTGTGGGAATATGTGAGAATATTATTCCGTTGGAACACACTGTCTGCATCACATCACCACAGTATTGGTCGTTTCTATTGTTTTGGGATTTGATTTTTTTGTTATGTCGCTAATTTTTTATTGGTTGGTAATTTTGATCCATAATAATTTGAGCACCAGGTTTCCTGGACTGCTTTGACAACGTTAATGTTTCCACAGCTTAATATTTCTCCATAGTTGTCTATATGCATCGATACGAAAGAACACATGCCGTGTCTTTTGACAATTAGTTCATGTTCTTAGATTGAAAGTCGAATAGGACGCTCACTTAGACCAGTAGTAATAGCGTTTATTGCAGTTCATGAAAATTAATTTTGTCGACAATGTCGATCTTGTCTTTTTTTTGCTGTTGGGTCTGTATAGTATTTGAATAAAGCGATTGTGTTGGTTTGTATGTGATATCTATTTCGAATGGTTTTAGTATTCTAACTACTATTTTAGAAATATTCCTTATAATTCATTTTAACTTCATTCATTTACTCGACTGGCCCACACTATATTTATTGTAGTTTTCATAAATACAGTTTCGTCGAACTATTGTGTACGTATTCAGCTAAGGATTTTTTGCATCCCTTATACAATATAAGAGATTGCTAGACATTACACTGTTAAAAAGCCAATCACGCACAGTACTGTTCAATTTTCTTATGATTTAATGATATCTCAGTTTGAGTAATAATAAACTACAGATTTTTTTTCATTTGAGTATTTGGACACCACTGAAATCACCCAGTAGTAGTGCTTCCTAGGCAAATTGAAGTAATCTAAATACCGAATGACTGTTTCTCTCCTTTGGGTGCGAACTCATCAATGGTGTACCCGATTTTGACTCTGAGTTCAGACGCCCGAATCAGTTTAAACCATCCAAACTGTGGTTAGTTTCTTGTGCAAACCGGATAATATATACATTATATCGAATTCGTGATTTGCAATTCATGAATAAAGTTCAAAGAATAGTGTCTTTTCGGCAACGAATTCATTCACTTAGCTGTACAATCTCATCTAATCGAGATGTACCATAAGATTGATGTTAAGTCAGCCTTTAAGGTCATCTATGAAAATGATCAACGGCGCTTATTGAAATACGCTGAGGCTATAGCTATTCATAAACTTAAGCCCCCACCTCCTGTGTATTCAAAAACAGTTTATTGTAACTCTTAACTTACCTTGTTAATCCTTATTTGATTGGATTACCAAACGTTGTGTTAATCATTCTTAAATCTTTTTTTGTCACTTTGTTTAATTTCATCGCCTTTAATTTTTTTCATATATATTGACTTGACAAGTAAATGTGTGAGGGATCAGATTGTTCGAAATATATAGCACAAATACATCACATTTTTCAGATAATCTCCGTCTTCTAGTAACGTTAACCACATTTTTTTATAATTATTTTGTGTGTGTGTGTGTACATTAGGATTGTCAAACAAAAATTAGTTAGGTTACTATTTACGTCATTAAAATGTCTTTAAAATGTGATGAATAATCAAAATCGTAACTAGAGGGGGGTGAAGACTGTTAAGTACTGAGAAGGGTTGCGTAATATGAATACTGCAATGCCATTCAAAAATTCTTAGCCAACCGTTTATTTACCTCTCCTACCTATTGCGTAATTTATTTTTTGGACACGTGTCTCCATTAGCATCCTATTTCATATTACACAACCCTTCTCAATACTTACCAGTCTTCACCCCCCTCTAGTTACGATTTTGATTATTCATCACATTTTAGAAACATTTTAATGACGTAAATAGTAAGCTAACTAATTTTTGTTTGACAATCCTAATGTACACACACACACACAAAATAATTTTATATAAATGCAATTGTACAGCTAAGTGAATGAATTCGCTGCCGAAAAGAGACTCTTCTTTGAACTTTATTGTTCTTAGACTCATGTCTGGATGGATATCTTCCGTGAATTTGCAATTCACGCAGTTCAAGATGAGTTGTATCTAGCTACTCATGTAACGACAGAAGGCAAGAGTCAGGCAACAGATCATTTATTAAGGAAATCAACGCATATTTATATATGTTTTCATGTACATCACTATGGATATGTAAACAAACAAACACAGTCTTCCGATTGGTTGTTTCTCACGACAAATCTTCGGAACGTAAATATTGACGTAAATTACTGTCTACCAATTTGGCTAGTAGACAGCTCTCACCACACTCATATCGATAAATTAGTAGTTTATATTGCGATGCATTCATACTTGCTTTCATGACTGCCATCTATGGTATTCTCAAGTAGATAACACTATATGATCTGGATAATTCCTGTTTCCAAAAGGAACTGTGGTGAATATTCACCGTGAACTGCGTAAATTGCGAATATGATTTCATAATAGACATGTCCATTTCCATTTGATGATTTTATTCAAAAGACTAAAGAGAGAAAATTTTCTCGTTTGATCAAGAAGGGACATACGTTATTGCCCCATTAAGAATCAGGGAACAATGGATAACTGTTATGTCTTAACGTGTGACGATGAGGCTTCTGCAACTGGTGTCAGCTCGTGACTTAACTTAAAGTAAATCAAATCTTTGCAAACCCACACTTGGAAAGTTTTCTTTTCATCACTCTAACTACTCACTAATAAATAAGTAGTAAATGAAGAAGCTTTATTCCGAACAAAATCTTTATACAGTATACAGAATTCTCAGCGTAATTTATTACATAATATTTTCTGTTCATCCAGCATCTTCGAGTAAAATATTGGTCTACAGCATATCACGTGATGCAGTGCTTTTATATCTGAGACATGGACTGATCCCTTATAATATTTGTTCTTTCGTCTCCGCGAATTGTGTGTACCGGTAGTTTGAAAGCTAATTGGAAATGTGCGTGAGTAAATCTTACAACTCAAGGTCACATTTGAGTGGTTAAGTAAATGGACAGGACAATATACACATTTTCACAGCTTCGCTCCTCTCCTGTACAAAAAAAATTTGGTAAAGACCCTCAGCCACAGATTTAAAGCTGTATGCTCAGAAGAAGTGATCGAAGAGGAATTGAACATTGTATATGATACCTTGATTGAAAATAGCTATCCCGACAAATTTACCAAGAAACATATGACAAAGAAAGCGGAAAAGGACTACTTACTATCCGTAAACAAGAAGCCTTTGTATATACGACTGAAATTCGAGGGTAATGTACCAAGTGAGATAATTACGAGGAAATTAAGAAAATCAGTTCAAAGAACTTTTAATGCTGGCGAACTACACGTATTATTCTCTACACGACCGATGATGATTCCTCGACTGAAAGATGAAGTATCTAGACTAGACACTTCTAATGGTATCTATCAATTCAACTGCGCTTGTGGAGCGAGTTATATTGGCCGTTGCTCTAGGAACTTGATTTTCCATGCTCGAGAACATCTCCCACTATGGCTAAGTAAATGTGTGGTGAAAACCATTAACAGTTCGATAGTGGACCATCTGGTGCGAACCGGCCACAAAGCCAGCGTGGAAGAATCCTTCGCTATAATCTACCGGGTGCCTAATAAATTGGTAAAAACATCGAAGCACCGCATGCTCCAAACAGCAGAGGCTATTGCGATTCGCCTCAAACAACCAGTGCTCTGTGTCCAAGAGAAGCAAGTCCAGCTAGCCCCTACTACTGCCCTTGCTGGCCTTCAGTAGAGACTAGAAGTTCATTAATTTGTAATATTATCTTTCCTAATTCTTCTGACATTCAGCTTATTTTATGTTGATGCTATTGAGCTATAATCTATCAATATTATTGATTCGATTTTATTTGAACATTAATGTTCATAATACTAATTCATTCATTCACTATGATGTATATATAACTGTAGAGCCTGATGATGAAGTTATCGAAAAGAGTACTCTTTGTTCAGTAACCATTCTTTTGGAAATTAGAAAAAAACATAATGCATCGTGTTAGTTAGCCCAGTGATTCAAACAGGCCACCATTCATAACAAACAATGGCGCCAGACAGAAGTTATTTAAACACTGAACAACTGTGTTTCTGTCGAATGATGTTAAAGCATATCCCCACCAAAATACACCACTTTGAATGAACGCCTGTAAAATTAAAGTAAAAGCGAAGCATTTCTCATACTATAGACTACCTATATTACTAACATATAATGAAAATGCTATTGTAGATGTTTAACTCTGAAGTCTGTTGCTTATATACGACAATATCAAATAACATTTGTTGCCACAAACTAGTTCGTTGAAGCTGGTGATTATTTTGAGGGAGGTGGGTAGCGGTACGCTTAACCATTACTTGCTTTTAAGTATTGGTTTTGTAGAGATTTTGTTTGATTGGATGGAGGATTTTATCATGAGCTGACATCAGTTAGAGAACCACTGGAAAACCCCGGTGAGTTCGTACTGTTGAAGAGTCCCACAGTAGGAAAAAACAGTTGTCCAGTACTCCCAGGTATCTCAGTGGTTCTCTAAATGATGTCAGATGATGATGAAATCCTCCATCCAATCACTTGTTTCTCTCGTTTTGCGACAAACGTAGCAGAAAGACGCAGTCAGAATAGTTCTGTTGATAAAGCTGTATTGTTCTAACGGCGTGTTAGTGTGGTCTAATGGTGGTCGCCAAGCTCACACATGGTTGGCTGCTCGATTTCCAACCGAGATACTCCTCATTTAGCCAGCAGTAGTAAGTCTGGAAAAGAAGAAAGGCTGAGTATGAGAGGCTAAGCAACACCTTCAACACTAAGACTTTAAAGCTAAGACTTGCATCAGTAACTTCTATTTGGAAAGTAAACGAATGAAAAAAGACGAGTAGTTGGAATTGTGTCTACATCTATTTAAGATTCTTACTCAGTATGGTGTATTGTACTCTAATAAATGACTTCTACTCAATAATTTGAAGCTGTATCACTATTTTTGTTCGTTTTTGTTTACTGGATAGAATTCTAGTGATCAAGGCAATGTTACATGTGGGGATGAACAAAGTGTTGTAAAACAATGGATTAATCGTCTAGAAGAAGAAGTTAAACGTTTCAAGGTAGAAAATGCTAATTTAAACAAAATGAAAACAGAACTACAAGATGTACGTAATATATATATATATATATATGTATGATGTGAAACAAAAAAATAACACTTTTTTTCTGTCACAATTGATACAATAAGAGGTGAAATAAGCGAAATTATTGATGTAAAAAAGATATTCTGAACTCTGTCTCTCTCTTTGTCTCTCTCTTGAGGGAGAGATTGGGAAATCTGACAAAACTTGAACTTTATCTCTTGGAATAATCATGGTTATACACTGCTGAAAAGTCCCTATGGGTTGATCGTTGACGAAATCTCAGCACGGATACAGTAGGCTTGTTTCACATATGCCAGTTTACTCCGTCTCTGGCGTAGACGTGATATCCGGATGACTGTCAACCAAAAGGTGAATGGGCTGCTCAGCACTCCTCTCCGTCCTTCTTTATGGCTGTAAGACCTAGGCCATTTCGCAATGTCTGCTTCGACGAGTTACTGCCTCATCTTTAACCTGCTGTACCCTACTGGTGGGTGCGTACTGATGAAGAGTCCCAATCGAGGAAGAAACAGCTGACTGTCCAGTACTCCCAGGTTTTCCAGTGTTTCTCTAACTGATGTCAGCTCATGATGAAATCCTCCAGCCAATAATAATAGTGTTGAAAATGACGATTTTTAACTGTTTGTTAGTTCATATCTCACTGTTACTAGTTTTATAACGGTTAACGGTAAAATCTCATCGCCATGAGTTTTCTCATTCAAAACTCCTCAGTTGAATACACTTCATTTCACTATGTACAGATATATCTCAACTATATACTTAAACTTTTCACCCGTTGTTACAGACGAAACGTTTTTTCCAAGAACAAAACTGTTGAAGTGTAATAACTACGAATCGTGTAGTGAATGAAAATAAGTGGTTACTCCAACAGCCATTTACCAGGGCTTACAGCTGATAGAAGCTCTTTCCAGCAGAAAGAGACTCTTCACTGAAAACTACTTGTTTTATTATCCGCTTTTTCCTCTTCATTAATGCCTAAATGGTGATTATTCATGATTATTACATAATAATCACTGGGTAGCCAGTGACTGCCCAACCAGCAAATCACTGCCTCCACTACACCAAACTTGTACCTTATAACTACTATCTATCCAATATATTTTGATCTGTATTTTTTTTCTCCATTCTGTTTCTCCCCCGCCCGCTCCCCTCAAGAAATCACGTCAATTAGAAACAGAAAAAGCTCGTTTTGAAGAGAGTAAAATGAAGGAGAAAAAAGAATTTGAAGAATATAAAGAGGCTGAAATGAAGAAATTAAAGTAAGTGATGACACATATTGAACACATGCGTATGCATGTCTATGTTTCTTGCACACGAAAAATAACACCTGATTCTAATGATATTTATAAAACACAGAATAATTGATCAAAGAATATCCTTTTCGATATTTTCCTCTTTTGGCTCTACAATTATATATATGCATGTTTATATACATAGAATATTCTAGAATAGTAGTCAATAACAATATTGGTGTTTTTTTAAAATAATATCGATTTGTGAAGTAAGACCACAATGGAATTACAGTTCATTAAAGATGCCTAAATTATAATAATAACAAAGATATAATAGCAAACAGAATATCAACTAAAATTAAGGAAATTTCTACAAAACATTGGGGATCATTCGAACCTAGATGGCCAAGGTAAGGACAATGTCTGAACTAGATCCTTTTGGACACATAATTAGGCTTCTTAATGTGGATCTCAACAGCCAGTCTTAGCAATATTTAGTAGTCGAACTCTTAGGGCAAAGTTAAGATTAGTTGGTATGCGATAAATTACTTTGAAAGCTGCCTCATTGACATCAGTCTTGTGTTCTGTATCCACAAGATGAGATAGAATAGGGCTACGAGTAGATTTTGTTTGTCCTTTACTTAACCACTATACAGGGTGATGTTCAGAAATTCGACGAGAAATACGCCTAATTTTAATTCAACAGATAAGTTTTGAACATAAATATTCTGACTGGATTGGGGCTGATGAAACTTCCAAAATAAGTGCAGTGGTCATATTCCGCAACTTCCTTCCCTATCCTTAGACTAGAAGTCGGTATAGGCCAGTCTTGTAGCCTCTTGTCACATATGACAAAGACGGACGAGTGTCATGTCAAACATTTGAAGATTTCTTGCTCAACGTATTCAGAGTACTCTGCATTTTAATCAGCGTCTTCACCTAGGAGAATAACAAAATTCGCATACTCTAAGTCGACGAGACTGTACCCTGGTAACAAGTTAATCCGTAATTCGCCGAAGTTAGTCAGTGTCAAATCCATTAGTGCATATATGATGAAATTAAAAAAAAATAGGGACAGTGGACATCCCTCACTGACACCACTGGTTGTGATCAGTTCAGATGACAACTCTCCATTGATGTATAGATTAAAGCTGTGAACAAGGAATTGGCGTTTCAGTCTGTGTGATGATGATGATTATGTGTACAAATGAACAGAAAGTTTGTCATTTTCAGTAAAATTTTGTCTTATAAGACACGATTTAAATATACAGATATATTTTTCAAGATTCATTTCCTTGCGAATAAGCATCGATAAGTGTATTATTGAAAACTCGAAAGTACCAGATTGTTCCTTGATCTTTGTTTGAACGTCTTCAGGGGTACGCAATTGCGATGCCATTCAGAATTGGACATAAGACGTTCAGACATTACCAATTCTGTCACTGGTTTGAACGAAATATCCCTCAAGAAATTACCTTGTTTCCACTTTGTAATAAAATTCACCCTAAAATCGACCAAAAATGTGTATGTCTAGCAATCCATCGTTCATCGGTGATTAGCTTCAAGATGGTCTTCCTGAAGGTCTTAACTAATCGATTCTTTCAAATGGAGTGTAGAAGAAGAACTACTGACCAACTTCATTAGAAAGCGGTAGAATTCAAAAGGCGGATTAACGGAAGTTAGAAATTCCTTTGTGCTTCGAAGTCTCAGTAGCTATTGAATTACTCTGAAATTGGTGTGGAAATCTGCACGCAGCATTTTTGGTGAGTAATATTAAGGTTAAGCGTAGTGATAGGTAAGGTGGATACGTCAGTCTATGCAGGTTTTGAAGGTATATCGATTGAAATGGTTAAGACACTTGTTAGGCTTTCCGAGCCAACTCATACCTCGATGAGCAATGTTAGCTAATAGGATTAGATCAAACTAAAACCTGACACCAATCCACGAAGTCGTAGACTGCCTAATTGTGGTCCTCAAGATGCAGAGAACCAATGTCTTGAGACCGTTCGTAATATGGCCCAAAATCGTTCTCAGTAGCCGCGATGCGTTCACTCTGTAATCTACCAGACCCATTGGTCCTTCATGTTTTTCTACGTTACATTACTTACTTGCATATGTGCCTACCCATCATAGTTCCCTCTCTCCCTCTTTTCTCTATCTTTGTGTGGGGTACATGGAGTGTGGCAACTTAAACTGCTCTACTTCCGCGTGAAGTTCTATGTGGAAACTCAATCAGTTAATTGAATCTAGTAAATGTGAAGTAAAGATATGTGCAATACAATTGAGGAGGTTGGGTTTACTGGTGCATATATATAGTCCATTCAAATGTCTTGTACATAGACCTCTAATTACTTCAATTGACAAGTACGGCTTTCAATTTATGAATACAATCTTCATCCAGGCAATAATGAAAATAAAACAAAACAATCAGTTTAACAAAGGGAAGCATTTTTATCAATTTCACTTTCTTTAGTTGTACAACTGCAGTTATACACAGTTTATCCCTACAAAAAAGGAGTGTAGCAGGAGGGATGAATTGTCATTAATCGTAGTTGTTATAATATGCATCAATACATATAAGAGCAGTTGAATAAGGGTTTTAGAATTACACAATGAGATGCATATCCTAATGAATCAGTCAAAATCAGAAGGGATATGGGAATGACGGGAAATATGACATTACGTAAGAGTTCGAAAGAGATAAAACCATCAATTTGTTAAAAAAAACAATATGGTCGTTACCACGATACTAGAATTGGTAGTATAAGGAGTTCCGGTTTCTCTGTCTTAATGGCCAAAGTTTCACTAATGCAACTAGCACGAAACCTAGGTCCAAGGCTTCCTGTGTCCGATTGCCTCCAACTATCAAATATTATCGAAAGTATATTGCCTTTGACAGGTTACTTTTTACTTTTGCTGATGGTCGCGCTAAAACCACTAATTGATAGAAGTGGAAATTCAGGGTCCATTTGCTCGGATTCCAATGGCTGAATAACCAATGAACTTGCTGTGTAACCTGAAGGTCCTGAAATTCGAACCCCAGTACGTGCGTACTGCCAATGAGTCCCAAACTAGGACGAAACAGCTGTCCAATACTCCCTAGCTTTTAGTGGTTCTTTAATTGATATAGATCCGTGATCAAACTTGTAACAAATCAAATCTTTATAAAAGAATTCATGAAAACTGCTCTTCACTTAGTCGATTACCTTGAGGAAGTTTGTTGAGGTAAAATAGCAAGTATCGAGTTCAGTTATTCAACTCCCTATGGAGCCACTACTACCTATTTGCAACTATTCAGGGTAGTGTTTTTGGACTCTTCTAGACAGGATACACGTGGACATATGCATATAAAATCGGTCAGATGAAGGATTCTCGTCTTTCAGGCTTCTTCAGACTAGTACAGTTTTAATGATGTATATTCTAATTGTTATTTTATATTCACTCTCTAAAAGCAAATTTTCTTTTTGATAAATTGATTAGAAAAGAAAAACGAGTTTTAGAAGAATATCAACGTGCTTTAAAAACTATGCCAAACAAGAAAGATCGTGAAGAAATTGAACGACTTAAACAAGAAGTAATGTGTCCACTTTTATGATGCATGCTATACTCTGTTTGATCTCCATATTTTTATTTATTTATTTATTTTGAGATTACAACTCACTCTGGTTCTTCTAATAAATTTTGACAATATGATAAAAAGATATGTGAGGATAAAACTTGGGCACTATGGTGGTAGAGTATAACTCCATTATGGATAAAATTTTATTTTCATATAGTCACACAGTGTTATACAGTAATACATATTTGCTGATGACGTCTTGAGCACAATTTATTGCTCATAATCATATCAAGGTAGTCACGTAACTTTCTTGCTTAATTTATATGCTAGAACAAGACATATAAGCGAACAATATTGTTTTCAATTAGATCTTCAGGCTTTACTCTAATTTACATAGATTTATATATAAACATTTTTAACCAGTGACGGTGATTTTGTGGATCAAATAATAATAATAATAATAGTGTGGTAAATGTTTTGAACGTAGTTAATAACGATGATTATAATGATAACAAAATATTGATAATAAGGTTTATGCAGGTGGCAATAAGAATAACAAAGGTAGATGTAGACAATTCAATAAATAAATTAGGTCAAATCTTAAAAGTTACGTAATACTAAGGGTGAAGTGGACAGATAATCAGAGTTTAAATAAATATCATAAAAGTACGAAGGAAATGGAAAATAAGAAAGGGTGGGAGGGTTTTGAATAGAATTCACCTAGGCCAAGGGAGAGACAAAGGTAGAACAAACTTCTTTTGTATGCAAAGACTAGGATTGTTCTCTTGAATTCCCATAGCTTCGGCTATGTGTAAAAGACGGGTTCGAATTCCGTTCGAAAGGCTCGATGGAATGCGATAGATAACTTTGAAGGCACTATTTTTGTCCACTTGGTGACCGCTATCAATCAAATGAGCCAAAATAGAACTTCGTATGGATTTTATTTGACCTTTTCCGAACCATGAAGGAAGATGCTCATTAATGCGTTTGTTAAGCTGTCTAGTTGTTCGCCCTATATAGCTCTCTCCACAGGAGCAACTAAATTTATAGATACACATAGACGTGGCACAGCTAGGTAGCTTGTCTTTCACTTGAGCAATCATAATTGGTTGGCAGCTGGAAAATAACAAAAAAAGGGTGGTGACAGTATAAGTCCGTTTTATCGCTCTCGATAATCTCAGATGTAAGACGTCCCCATTAAATTGCAATTTCATGAACAGTTGTTTCTTTTCAACTGTTGTCAGTTTCTCTTTATTGTACTTGGTGTTCATTAGTCTCCTTACAAATCTACTAGGATAACCCGTTTGAACCAGCGTATTTTGGATGTATCCTAACTCATTTAGTAGGGAGTCATCTATACAGATACGTCTGGCTCTATTCGTGAGGCATCTAACCAAATTGACTTTGTATCGGATTGGTACAAAACTGAGGAAATGTGTATATTGTCCTACAGATGTAGGTTTTCTATAGACATATCTCTTAAGTGAACCATCCTCTCTTCTGCTCAATTGGACGTCAAGGAAATGTAGTCTACCATCATGTTCTTCTTTACAAGTGAAGATGAGCGATGGATGTGCATCATTAGATTTTATTAACATTTCGTTCTTGTCAGCTTTCACATCAAGAATAATAAATGTATCATCAAAATAACGGAAATAAGAATCAGTTTTATCTATTACTTGTTTCAGTGGATCATTTTCAACCTTAGATAGGAATATTTAAAGATTATTTATATACATGAGTAAACATTGATCAGAAAGAGTTAAACTTCTAAAAAGTAATATGGGTAGGTGGAGAGCGAGAGAGATTGATTACTGAGTCCTGGTTCATCGAGTCTACACCCAACACAACACATGCAACAGAAATGACTCAATGCAAATACCAGAGATATGGGAGATATTGCTGCCACCAGTCAAATCACAGGAGGATAGTAAATAATCTTAAAATTCTATTTCAATTCATGTACATTATAACATTCTAGCAGGTTGCTTATTATTACTGTAAAAAGCATCTTATTTCCCATCTGATTGTACTTGATTGATAACACTCATATTATTATTTCTGAATGTACATTATCCTATATTGATTTTTATTCAAATGTCTAACCAATTTCACTCGTGTGTATAAATGAAGCAAGAAAGTTGTGTGAGTGACTTGGTATGGTTATGAGCAGTAATAATTTGTGCTCAAAACGTCATCAGTTAATATTACTGTATAACAACACTGTGTGATTTATCAAAATAAAATCTTATCCATAATGGAGTTATGCTTTACCACAGTGCACAAGTTTTATACTTATATCAAGATATTCTCTGCTCAGTTGCACACATAAACACAGAGTGTTATTAAAAACTTGAAGGAAGTAACATTCCTCCACAGATGCTTCTACTGAACTATTTGTTTAGAGATTGACACGCTTGAAGATTACATTGGATACATCATTTCCTGAGCTATTCAAATCTCCAAAACAGGTCACAGATAGACAGTGAAGTCTTCAACGGTTGGTTTGAGTCAGCCACGTTGAAAGGTGTAGATTATACCTGGTTGGGGTCGTCAAGATGTTAAGAACCAATAACTTGAGATTGTTTGTTATGTGACTCGGAACTGTTCTTCATCATTGGCGAAGAAGTATTCACTTTTTGTAATGTACCAGATCCATTAAGTCGTCATGTCTATGCATGTTGCTATTGTTTCTCGCGTGAATTTCTGCTCATTAAATCTCTTCTTAGTTTCTCTTTCCTCTATCTCTGTGTTTTATATGAAGTGTGTATGTAAGATGCTGCTATAGGACTAGACTACGTCAACTCCTAGCTTAGTGATAGGGAGTGAAGTGATAGAACATGTTGACCACTTCACCTATTTGGGAAGTTGTATCAGCACCAACGGATTGATTGGTGACGAAATCTCAGCACGGATCCAAAAAGCTCGGGCTGCTTTCGCTAACTTACGCCATCTCTGGCGTAGGCGTGACATCCGGTTATCAATCAAGGGACATGTGTACTGCTCAGCAGTTCGCTCCGTCCTTCTCTATGGCTGTGAAACATGGCCAATACGAGTTGAAGACATGAAAAGATTGTCTGTTTTTGGAAAAGAGTAAGTGGTGGCCAAACAAAAACATGGCATCAATCCATGAAATCATTGACAGTTAAACTGAGTCAGGTAGGGAGATGCAGACTTCCGGGTTGGGGCCCTTGGGACTCTAAGAATCAATGGCTGGAGACACTAGGTGATATGGCTGAAAATAGTTGTCAATGGCTTACGCAGATGTATTCAGTCTCTGTAATCTTTCATATTCCTTTCTACCACTACTCATTCTGTTTCACTCTTATACTTGTCAAAACTCTATTGATTCTCTTCACTCATTTTCTTGTCTACCTTTGTGTGCTATTTTGGAACGTGGCAACTCGAACTGCTGCACTTCGGTGCCAAGTTCTATGTTGAATCCAGACAGATATGAAGTGTGGCAACCTGAACTAATGCATTCCTGTGCTAAGTTCCACATTGTGAATCAGTTAGTCAGACTGTCACTAATTGCCAGCTACCACAGAAACTAGGTCGTCGACTAATTGTTGTCAGTTGTCTTCAGTCACAAGACTGTAATAGTCGTTAGTCATTCTTTGTAAAGAGTAAATAAATGCGACGTGACAACACATGTTTGGTGAATGTTAAAACCTAATTTGTTTATTCCTGTTTGTCTGGTTTTTCTCTCCTTAGCTTGATGAATCTCGAGTAGATATGGGTAAACGTGAAATACGCTGGCATGCAGCACTTAGTCGTCTACGTACACGTAATGAAGAACTTGAAAGTGAACGAGATGAACTTAAAAGTCGGATAAGTAGACTAGAAGAAGAGCGTATATCATTACAAGCTCAATTGACAAAATTGAAAGTATCTACAGCAAATGAATCAAGTGGTAATAAACAGAGATTGTCTTCTTCGTCACTTCGTCAGGTTTGTTGTTCATTTTATTCGTTGATTGTTCTATCGAATTTCTTATTTCTTACAATCATTTCCTATGATAATAAACTTGAATAAAACAAAAAGAACACATTGAACAGGATAACATGAAAGCTTTTGTATTTCATTGTTCTTTGTCAGCTGCATGCACCTATAAGCAATTTAATATCAATATGTTAGGTGATTGATTGGAGGTAATCAACAGGAAGCTCTGCTCGACCTCGGTTTCGTGCTTGTTTATGGCACTCGTTAACAAAGCATATCTGCAATCTTGAAGGGACTCATATCCCCTCTGAGATTCGAACCTGCGTCACCAGTTAAGCGCTGCAGTAAGAGACATCACTGAGCTTTGTGGACTAGCGATTGACCTTCTGTAGGGTTGTAATGAATACTTTGCTTGGTCAATATATATATATATATATGGTTTTCTTTAGTTCCCAGAGAAACAGGGCTTCAGCCGCACGTCCCCATTGGTGTTCAGTTCTCCACCAACGTTATCACCTGTCTCCATGTCTGCCCACATGCTTTCATCTCCTCTTCGCATCACCTCCTCCATGTCACCCTCGCAATGACGACCAACTCACCGTTTCTCGTTTAGGTCCCACTTGAGCGATGGCCTCGTGTGTGATGTCACTTGATGGTTGTTTTCTCAGAGTATGGCCAATCCACCATTTCTTCCTGCATATTCGGTTCCTGCTGGGTTGGTTCGCTCGTTGCAAGAGATCCCTGTTACTGATCTTTTCTGCCTGACAATCTGATCTTGATTGGTATTGAGCGAAGACAGCTATTGATGAAGGTCTGTAGTTTGCTCGGAATGCCCTTTGTGACGCGTTGGCCAAGTCTCTGATCCGTATAGTAGCACTGACTGACTTCACATTGGAGTTGAAAATCCTCCTCTTATTTTTCATGCTGAGTGCTGTTGATCTCCACACAGGCTTTAGAGAGATGAAAGTTTGTCTTGCTTTCCCGATCCTCGTTTCGATAAATTCAGCTTTAATCTTTTAATGGCAATCGCTGTAGCGATACATAGCAACCTGAAACTGTTTTGAACTTTGATTATCTGAAATGACTTCACCGTCTCGAATTCATGACCTCAGTCTAACAAGTAGCAAGCAATCATACTACTGAACACACTTTCGCACCTCTTAGACACAATTTTCTTGGAATGCTCTCAATAAGTGTTCACAAATCTTTATTTCTGCTCATCTTATGTGTACGATTTCACCCATGCATGAAAACTGGTATATGCATTTTGAGGTAGAGTGAAAGGGGAAACCTGTCAACTTTAACTTGTCTCTCAATGAGCATTTTATTCAATTTGTGGCTAACCTGACAGTTGGCTAATTTCGCTTGAGGGCAGCATTCATCCTAGTTTTTATTCTTCCACATATGTTATTACCTTTTGAATCTATGATTACGGAAGACTAGTTTTCCTTCCTAACTGTATCAGATGTCTTCTTTTATATGTGCTATTCTGTGGTGTTTATCAATGAATTTTGTGACGGTGTCCATTGCGTCTAGTGGCGTGTGTTCATCATCAAGTCTTTTTCCGAACAGACATTTTCTGTGCGGTTGAAAACAATGTCCTCACTATTCAAATTTGGATACAGTCTATTCCATAAATGTTTACAATGAATGTATACATACTTTTTGTATATTTCTATCTGTAGTCTGTAACAGTTCGAGATCGAGAAAGTTACTTTCCATTTTGTTCATATAACCCATATCAAGGAACTTAAACCTAGGATCTATTTTTTCCGAAGACGCTCCAAATCGACAACCACTAAGCACACATATATCGACTTTAATTCCTAAACACAATGGATGACAAGAAATTGTATTTTTCGATAGGTAAAATCAATATTCTGTACTAAGTCTATAAACAAATGTTTTTACAAGGAGTGTATTGTGCTTTTATTCGTATTCTTTCGTCTTCTTCTTCTAACTTGTACACGACTGAATCACTCGCGCCTTCAAAGTTGCCCGCCAATGACGACCAATGCCAATGAACAAACGTTCACTGTTCATAATTATTGACAACCCATTTATTGCTTATTAGAACAAGAACTTGGAGCATTATTGACACCAAGAGAATGATGCTCAGGAAGGCTTCGTGTGCTTTTGGAAGTGTGTGGGCGGTTGTTACTTCCCGGCTGCTCACACTGTGGAAGTTGATTGATTCTACGGGTACCTGAAACAGAAAGAGGGTTGGTGTTGCGTGACCGCAGAGCACAGGGCACAACTGTTTGAGGTCGTTCACACACGGCCTGTATGAACTGGTTTCTGGGATTGGTTCCGTATTAGTAAACTTACCGCCGGTTACGGACCACTGTAGGATAAGTCGGGATGTAAAAGTGTTGGGGTTGACCTTTTCTAACCCCTTCTCTCCAGAGTGGAGACAGTATAGCTGGCTGGCGTGCTGGTCATCTGAGAGAAACACCTTACTGCTGTTACACCCCTGCTCCCTAGCAGTACGACTTCGCCCTCAGACTGCTCTTAGTCTAATCGCTATCCTAACAACCTTCCTGGCATGGAAGGAGCTGCCAGTGTAGCTTGTTGTGTCATCACGATGTGCAAGCCCTGTAGGATTATTTTTGTCCTACAGATTTAGTCCTTCCTCAATACTGACGACACAGAGTCTTGACTTAGCTATAGTTAAAACAGAATCACTTGACTTAAACTTTATCTGTTTCTAAAACATAAAATAAATCATACAATTACACCAAGAAAAATGTACAAATCCACTGTCATTACAAAAAAAGGACAAAAATGTACCGAACAGTATTGAGGGTACGGACAAAATGAACGGTCAATTAATTACATGTATACACAAATAGAGTGACATACAACAAAGAACATTCAAGGTCACATCACGTGGTGAGAGTTACAATAAATTGACCAATAATCGCGACAAGAAGGTCACATCATATTGATTAGCTGTCTATCATATAGTCTATCTCTCTGTCGCGATTAACAAGCCCGACCACCACGTTCAAGGTAGCAGCTATCGGTCGGGAGCAGCTACATGGAGTGTGGTGACTTGAACTGCCGCACATCGGTGCAAAGTTCTATGTCGAAAACAGACAGAAAGACAAACATATTGACACCAAAAGATACTCTACGCAAAACCTGATGGTGTGTGTAAGAGCTGGAATACTACCCGGACACCCAAACCGAATCAGGTAGTGGTTGTCCTAAGGTAGTGATGAATCAGACTTACTTGCAGTTGTTATGCGCGCTATTTTCACATGACAGCATTTCGAGAAGATCAAAGTCTTTTTTAAACTGTCATATCATCTATCGCGTGTTTCAAGCTTGTTTGTTTATTCAAAACCTCCTAATTCCTTTTTTTGCTGGATTGGTGATGATGTTTATTTGGTTTTATTTTTCAGACTGTTAATTCTATATCGCAATCTATAAGTTTTACACCTCACAATGGAAATACTTCAAAAGCTTTAGATGACGGTAATATCAGTCATCGTCAACAGTCGAGGCAACCATCAGCTACACGTTCATTATCATCATCATCATCTCGTCCTGTATCAAGATTAAATCATCCTGATCGACTTGGTACAATAACTAGTAAACAAACGACTACATCAAGTAATCATCAGAAATCCAACCTCACTTCAAATAAAACTTCCAATACTATTCAATCAACACAAAAGTTATGTCAACAAGAATCGACTTCATCTGTCACAGGTACACGTGAAAGTATAGCCAGTGGAGGTGGTTATTTCACTGGAGATGATGATTGTGGTTCAATTGGCGGCAGTAGTGGACGTGTTGTCAAGTTTTCTACACGTTCAACAGATCCTGAATATGATAACGATGTTGCTGATATTGATGGTGGTGGCAATCTTTTGTGTAATGGTGATCACAGTAAACAGAAGTCAACACACCTTCGTATAAACAAAGAAATAAATTGTTGTGATAAAAATAATGTAATACAAGCGCCGTAAGTGTAAAGATTTAATATTTTTATTTACTTATATAATATTGGTTATCTGATAACTTGTAAATGTTAGTTTCTGTAGGGATTTGATTGGTTCCGAGATAAATTTCGTTGTGAAGTCAGTTAAAGTACTACTGGAGATTATGAAGTCAGTGAACACTTGCTTCGTCCTAGTTTGGGACTCTTCATCAGTGTGCATCCACTGGCTTTGAACCTAGGACATTCTGGTTACAAGGCGAGCTCGTAGACCATTTAGTCACCGGGACTCTACGAACCGACACTTGATAATTAATCTGTCACTAGCGACTGGCTTTATGCGAGAAGTTAACTGGATTTCTAATGAGGAGTCTTGACCAAGGGGGTGTACGCAGTCAGGTGAAGGACCAGTTGCTCGCCTATGATACTAGATGGTGGTTGCGCTTTATATTGTGAATCCTCTTAAGTTGGAATTCATGGATCATCGGATTGGGTCCCAGTGACTGAATGGTTTGTGAACGTGCCTGGTAATCGGAAGGTCCTTCATTCGAACCTCGGTGGGTGCGTGCTGATGAAGAGTCCCAAACTAGGCTGGCGAAACAGCTGTCCAGTACTCCCAGCTGGTTTTCCATTGGTCCTCTAACTGACTGCAGTTGTTAATGAAACCTGTGACCTAAGATTAGTGGTTCCGAGGTAAATTTTGTTAATAACCGAGATCAGTTAATTAACTATTGGCAACCATAGGGCACTGGACAGCTGTTTCCCGCTGGTTTGAGATTCCTTGATAGCGCACATCCAAGACTTCACTAGGAATCAAAACTCAAAGACCTTCAAGCTATACAATGAGAGCTTGTTGATCATTCAGCTATCGGGTTGTAAGATCCAATGATCTCTGAATTTTGTTTCCGGTCAATTCACGAATGGTTGCCAGAGTGTCCTGTGTCCGATCCCTGGTGGTATCTTGGTTCCAAAAATTATAATAAAACAACTGTCTAGTAATTCCTGTTTTTAATGGTTCTGTAATTGTGTCGGATTCTCGAGCAAATATACCATGAAATAACTTTTATATTCATGACTCATCCCCGTCCAGCCATTAATGAAAACAAAACATGTAGTCTCTTTTCGGTGAATTCATTTTGTTAGCTGTACAATCACAAATATATATAGGTTATTTTGTATGCATGTATACACTAAGTTTGTCAAACAAAAATACAATCGGTTATGGTTATTTTAACTAAACAGGTGAAAATTAGTATTTTTTGGTAAAGTTACGTAATACAAAACAAAATTGGGTGTTAATGGAACTAGTGTAATAACAAAGGTAATGAGTTGTCACAAACAGTTGTTAAAAAGTAGTTACGTGATGATACGCGTAGTTTGGTGATTGAGTTGTACTCAGGATGCACATAGAAACAAAGTAGAGAATACGAAATTACATAAGATTTCTAAATGGATGCTGGAATTATAAGCAATTACAGAAACAAGCAAATAAACAAAATTAAGTCACCAAAAATCAACAAAGTTGCTGCCATGATAATAGAAGTGGTTGAGTAGTTTTGTATACACAGCGCAGGTTTTCCTGTGTGAATAGCCAGAGCTTCAGCAATACAGAGGAGACGAAAGCGTATTGCCTTTGGTAGGTTATTCTTCACTTTGTAGATTACTTTGAAGGAGGCGTTTGTTGAGATGGAATGACCAATGTTAATGAGATGTTCGTTTATCTCACTCTTTATACAGCCACTGTTACCTATTTGTAGCCATGAAGGATAGTTTTCTTGAAACATTTTGGACAAGATACGCGTCGAATGACCAATGTGTCTGGCTCCACACCAACAGGTGAACCGACATATGCACATAGAAGTGGGCAGGTTCGGGATCTTGTCCTTAAGGCTTCTGCAGAGCATGTTGTTGTTCACTTGAAATGCTATTCGCTCGTTTTATTATGTTTCCGTTAACAAAAAGGTTGCATCTTGTGCATTGAGCTGAAAAAGTGTGACACTGAGATGTGTGGAAAGTTTTGTTGGTCTGTCTAAACAGCATTATGAAATATGCAGTCAGTTGAAATGCTAATTTTCTAAAAAGTATTGACTAGTGATTAAATGATGAAAGCGTCAGTATTTGCAGTTGTCACCATTCCCTTGATCGTCCCAGTGGAATTTAGGGCTACAAGCTTTGAATTTTCAGTAGCAGTGTTGTCACTTCTTTTATAAGGGTAGGGTTGCTAGCCCCCCCCAACCTTCCCTTTTAATTAGGCTTAAAAGCGTTTAGTAAATTAGGTGAGGTGTATGAGTCCCTCAGTTGGGAATAGAACTAGGACTTTCTGCGTAACTGACGAACAGTTTACTGTGAAACCACCGATGTTGTCGGGGAAGAACTTACCTGAAACTATCAGAATAGATAACGTGTGCATAAAGCGACATACCTAAGGGAAGATTTTAGGTATCTTGTGATTGAAGTTCAACTGTTCACTGTCTTAGTTGAACTTTTACATGGTGTTTGCAGTACATCACAGGCTAAACGAGATTTAGGTATGCGTCGGTGGGGAGTCAAACCCTAAACCGCATACGTGGTTAGCGAATGTCCTACCAGTGAGTCACTGACTCATTGAATTGCACTTAAAAATTCTCAATTAAAAAAAAATAAACCTACGGTGTAAATATCTTAAAATATCTTTGATAATCATTCTTACCTGGGGACTTTTCTTCAGCGGAATGAGCTTATATGTTGTTGTTTTTGGAATGACATCAGCTGATTTTTCTTATTTTTGTTAATATTTTAGGCTTGATTCACACATTTCTCAGAGAAAAGATAATGTCAATAGGTTAGGTAATAATTGCCAAGAGAGGTTACCAATTCCTGGGACAGCTGCTTCAGGTACTATTGTTCGAAGTGTGAAGCATACAGACGGTTCGGTAAGATAGATATCAGTAGTAAATTGTTTTGTTATATTATTGTACCAAATGTTTCATATAATCATGAAGGATAAATTCTTAATGGAACATTATTCAGTAAATAATACTGTTTCACTATTTAATCAATACGAAAAAAATAATCTAATTTGGGATTAAGTATGGTGAGCAGGTTGGCAGTTTGGCTCTCAGTATCTCAGCTGCTAGAGTGCCGGACGAGTAATATGGAGGCCGCTGGTCCTCATCGTCCCATAACAGAGATTTCCATCCCACCTTCAGTCATCCCTTTGGGTTCCAAGTGGAACACAGGACTTCAAGTTTTAAAGTCTCAGTTGCAGCGGTGTTGTTCTTGAAAAGGAGGTGGGTGAGATTACTAGCCCCACCTCCAACCTCCCTTTTTTTCTAGCTTACCACGGGTTAGGCGTGGTTTGTAAGTGCATTGGTCGAGAATCGAACCCGGAGCTTTCATGTGGTTGGTTAGCATTCTATCATTAAACCTTTATAAGCTCATTACACAAATTAGATGTTTGTTTATTTAATGAAGCACACGGTGATTACGGTGTTATTACCTGACCACAACCCTTGTCACCGGAAGGTCCTTGCTTCGAACCCCAGTGGGCGCGTGAAGAGTCTCAAACTAGGACGAAATGGCTGTCCAGTACTCCCAGGTTTTCCATTGGTGTTTTTTTCACTGTCGCAAAACAGCAGTTGAAAAAAGGTTGACAAAGCTTGCGTATATATACATATATGTATACATGTGTTTGAAATGACCTTGAGAAACACAAATGTCACTGATAAATTAAGACAGTGAACAACCAGTAGGATCTCAAAGGTTATAAGTAGGGTGAGAGAAACACAAACAGACATGTAAAAATGACATGTAGAAAAGGAAGTCTGTTTACATCAGACAGTTAGACTAGTATGTGCACTTTATGTGCTGCCCCTTTCAGTTGACGAAAATTTACTCCTTTTTCAGCTTGAATTGGTCTTCGTATCTCGGTACTTTTATACCTTAGAGATGTTATGAAGACACATTTTCTAGCAGAATAATTGGCCTGACAACCCTGACAATAAATTCAGGATGCACATTTCTCTCCATTTAGGACTCGTTATCTGGATGTATCTGCATTGTCCAATGAGTCTGATAGTGTTCCCATCCAGATGACGAGTCCCGAATCGGACGAAACGCGCATCCTGAATTCCACTGCTAGTCACCATTCATCCAATTATTTCAAGTTAATTCTCAAGCATCCTCGAAGCATCCGTATAAGGAGCTGACATGTCAACAGAGTTCGAACATTTGGGTTTAGTGAATCGACGTGAGAATCAAATTGAATTAAAAATAAATAATCTATTGACAATATGGATAGTTATTTGGATTTTTCAACTTACTATGTGATTGCTACCCTTTTTCAATTCAGCTGTATATCATTGTTCTACCGTTGACATATCGTTTTGTGGCGTAGACCTTATTGTCTGTCTTTATTTTTTCGTGGTCCCTACTTTTAATGCTTCTTTACTCTGTTATGTAATGGTATTGATAGCAAAGTGTTGATTTACGACTGCTATTTTGTTTGACTAAATTCAAGGTGATACTGTGGAGAGTGACTAATTGATTTTGAACTGTCTGTGGGGAAACTGTGCTTTGTTCTGTTTGATACTTGCAGATAGGGTTTTAATCCCACTTTGCACATGAAAAACTTTTGAACTGTATATATAGCTACCGGATGGCATTGCTTGGGCTGTTGTATAATTTTTATATCAGTGATTATTGTTCAATGGTACAACAAATTCTGTCAAACAAAACCGGTTTTTGATGGTGTTTGATGTTTACGATTTCGGACCGCGTGTCAGGTTTGGTTAGCTATCCAGATGATCACATACATCGGGATTGGTTTCTTGTGCGTTCCGACCGAAATACTAGAGTGTTTTACTCCTTATGTCTTCAACGAAAATCCGCACAATGTTTCCATATTTCCTAATTTTGTAACGACAGAAGAGAAGGGCCAGGCAACAGAGAGAAAATCAAAAGATATTTATAGATTTCTAGATACGTTATTATTCGTCATTGTTAGCAGAGAAGCAACGTCTTCTGATTGGTTGTTTTCTTGCTGAAGGCTATTCTGTCATCTCATTGTGACCGTTTCTTACAAAGTCAGGCCATATATCTGCGAATCGTATCCGCCCACGCTAAGTTTGTTATGATTGGTTGTTAAGTTCCTCAAGGTTAAGCTTTGTTTTTGGTTTTTCTCATGACCAAGATTTGGGACGTAAATTGCTGTCTATCAATTTTGGCTAGTAGACAGCTCTCACCACGGTTTGACTGAACAGTTATGCAAGTGTAAAACAAGGAAAGGAAGAATTTTTTTCATTTATGTGATAAAAATTCAATATTTTATTTTATTATTTTGTTTTTATTGCATGAATTGAAGATTGAACAAACTTATTCAAATGGTGCTGTAATTGTATCCTATGCTAATGGTTCAGTAAAGGAGATATTTCCTGATACAATAACAGTTGTTGTATCTTTATTCAATGGAGATATTAAACGAACACTGCCGGATGGTCGTGTAGTAAGTGTGTAGCAATTGTTTTGTCCATTGCATTAATAAAAACATGAGTAGTCTATTACTATCTATTGTATCATTGAAACATTAGTAAATAGGGATTCTGTATCCAGCGATAACGTATGTTTATTATTCAAGGTATTTATATCCTGGATACGATCGATGAGAGTGAAAAGATAATTATCTCCTGATTGGTTCAAGGAGTTCCTTAGGCACTAAGCTGTTCGATGGTGAGGGTATCCAAACATATCCAGAATAGGACAGAGTTGTAAGCTAACTTTGTTCAACTTCGACAGATGATAAAGTTTTGGTATTAAAGATCCTGTCAATCTAATCCCATCATAAAATTCCTCACGAATCAGATGATTGTTCTCCTTTTTTTCTGAACGTTTCGCTGTGTAAGCCACAGCTTCTTCAGCAGAATTATTCGGATTTTATTAATCATCAAAATATATAGTCAACATTTTTTTACATAAATTGAAGTCAGTTTATTTGAAGGTAACTTGTCCATAGACATTTGTACCGATAGAAATATGTAAGCAGTCATCACATATATTTGTAATGACTTATGTCCAAATGCTATTGTGTATATTTTTCTATAGTTGATTTGTAAGGATTAGTTCTGTATTAGTGTGTGTGTATTTTATTTGTCATATGGAAAAGACGTCAATTCATATGTGATAAACATGATAATAAACTTTTTAAGGGTGATGGAGGCTCATAGAGTTTTTTGTTGTTTTTTCATGTGTCTTGCTTCATTAGAGTTTGTCGTATAGGTGATAAGTCTATCCCTTCTTCCATATTTACTGCATTCAATGTGGTTAATATGTGCAAGGCTTCAGAGATCAACCTTCCTTTATATGAATGAAACCCTCTTCTAAGAATTTCGGTATTGTCGAAATCAATCTTATGTCCGCTGTCCTATCGTATGCAATGCTATAACCGATCTTCTTTCCAGACTTTTTAATTCTACTTCATTTCTAGGTGGATGTTTCGTGCATGGTCTATGTTCATCCACTCTAACCTTCACCTGTCTACTGCTCTCCCCTATGTAGCATGCTTCACATTCTGAACACTTTATTCTATAGACACAATTACTTTGTGACATTTTGGAAACCATATCTTTGACATTCACCAAAGCTTTCTCTAGAGAATTAGAGGGCTTGAAATAGACTTTAATATTATATGAAGCAAATAGTCTTTGAAGTTGTTCAGCTGTGTCCTTTCGGTATGGAATGGCTATCGTCGATGGTAATGATGAATTCTATGGAAAGTAATTCTCAATAATAGTGATTTTTAGAAGACATTAATTGAATGGGTCGGGATACAATATTCTTTGTTCAAAGGTTACACTAGACTTTTTATTGAGTAAAGTTTGAATTCAATTCGTTGAAGTGTCATATGTCTTAAATTTCTTTCGTAATTTATATATTCACTTTAACTTTTGGTCTGTAGATATATCATTATGCAGCTGATGGAACAGTTCAAACAACCTATCCTGATGGTACTGAAGAGATCATATATCCAGAGTAAGCTTGCTTTAATTCTTTTATTAATTAGCTAGCTATTTTTATTCTCTTGTTACTATTGGCTTTCTGTGCTTTGATTTTTTTATGTAACGATTGGATTGAATTTCAGGCGTATAGACTGAATTGCAACAGTAGGCATCATCATCGAACAGAGCGTTGAGTTGTAGTTAACTCTCTACTTCAACATTATCGATTTTGAAGGAGAAAAAAATGCCTTCGAAAGCTTCGATCAGGAAGTGTTTTTTTGGGGGGGGGGGGAATTGTTTCAACACCACATTCAGCAGCGATTTGCGGTTGCTACATGTCAAGTGTAACACAACGGAGAACTCAGCGAAGCCTTTGAAGTGAAGACAGGAGTAAAACAAGGCTGCTTACTAATACTAATGATATTCGTAATATTGGTGGACTGGATCATGCGGAAAACTGATGGGGGGGGCGGAGAAGACAGGATAACGTTAACCCTACAAAAAGACCATGGAAGATGTGGACTCCGCAGACGACTTATGTCTAATGTCACACAGATTCGGTGATTTACAGTCAAAAACCAAGAAGTTGGCAGAAGAAGTGGCAAAGACAAGACTTCAAATGAACAGAGAGAAGACAGGAGTGATGAAGATACCTGACTACGAAACACTGTCAACGAGAGAAATTTGTAGGAAGTCACTTATTTCGCTAGTCTAGGCAGCACCATTTTGCACTACAGGTGGCGAAACGGATGAGGATGTCAAAACCCAGACCTTTATTAATCTGAAATCAGTGTGGAAATCTTCTCGATTCAACATAATTAACAAGATCCGGATGTTCAACAATGATATCAAGTTAGTGAGTATTTTTAGGTGGTTCAGAAACTTGACACACGCGTTACAGGCTGTAAACTTTCTTTCATCAACACCTGGCTACTGAGAGAATCAACAGTGAGGAACTCTGACAACAACGCATCAAGAACTTGTCGTCCAACTAGTGTAGGGAAGGAAATGGAAATTGATGGGACATATGCTGGATTGATAAGACTGTTCACTGTAAATATGGTGTAATGACCTTGGTGTTAACACTTGACGCTGTAATTCCTCCAACATTTTCTAAAGAAGTTTATTTGGCTGCATTGCGGACAACATCCTCATTTCGTTTATTTCATCTGGTACCTCTGTGATTCATGTTATTGAAATTGTCACTAATTTGCAAAAGCATTTGAATTTCAATTGAAGGGCTGACGGACTTGAGGTCTAGTCTCACCTACTTCAACCCGGGGGTGGGGGTCTGTCTGTCTGTTTTCAACATAGAACTTTGCACATATTTCCGGCAGTTCAAGTCGCCACACTCCATGTAGCACACAAAGCAAGAGAAGGAAGTAGGAGAAATGCATAATAGAGATAGTAAACAGAGGTGTGAAACAAAGGAATAGTAATAACGAAGAACAAAACAGTTTCATTGGAAATCTTAAGTCATAAGGAGTGGATGCATCTGCGTCAGCCACTGAGAACGATTTTGAGCCATATCACCAATTGTTTCCAACCATTGGTTTTTACCGTCCCGAGGACTCCAAACAGGAAGTCTACACCTTCCTACATGGCTTAAACTAACTGTTGTAGATTTCATTGACTGGTGGGACGTTTTGGTTTGACCGCCGCTTGATCTTTTCCAACCTGACCCAATGTCAGCTAACATCTCCCATCTTCGAGGAAGGCGATGACTAGGCGTACGTAACACATGTCCTAACCATCTCAGTCGATGTAGTTTCATAGCCTCGTCTAATAATTTCCCCTCCTTACCTAGCACTCGACGCCTAACCTCAATATTGCTCATCTTATTATGCCACTTCACACGGGAGATAGAAGGCAGGCACCTATGATTAAAGACAGATAATCTTTTCATATCTTCCACTCTCAATGGCCAGGTCTCGCAGGCATAAAGAAAGACGGAGCGGACTGATGAGCAGTACACACGCCCTTTGGTCGATAGCCAGCCGGATATCACGTCTACGCCAGAGACGGCGTAAACTAGCAAATGCGAACTTAGCCCTCTGTATCCGTGCTGAGATTTCGTCAGAGATATACCCATTGGGGCTGATGGTACTTCGCAAGTAAGTGAAGCGGTCAACGTGGGAGTGGGCAAGTTTGTAGTACCATTAGTTCTCAAAAAAGTGTAGTGTGAGTGCTTCTTACCTGATTCAGAATGCTTAGAGAAAGTACCATTTCTCTTAATTTTATAAGTATATCTGGTTGATAGATATCTCGACTAGGACTAGACTGAACAATTATTTAAAAGACAGTAGCTAGTTATAGAAAGCAATTCATAATGATGGTTAAATCACTAATTACTAAGTTATTAATTAGCCCCTTCATGATACCCACTGAACTGTATCACTTACAATGACTATCTGCTATTCATATCTAATTGTAATGGTAAGTATACGAATTGTATTTATTTGCCTTCTTTATTTTTATGTGCTCTCTGACACTCACCACTGTTTTCTTTTTCTAGTGGACACCAAGAAATTATACATGCTCATGCACTGCAGCAGATAAATCCTCCGACAGCTGCCGTTGATTCATTGAAATCATTACCAAATGAACAAATATGCCGACGATTAAGTAATGGTGATAAGGAGATACTGTTACCTAATGGTCAGCGTGAAATTCATTCCAATTCTGGAATTAAAGTAAGTTACGTAGATTCGAATGGAGTATTATTTATGTTCCCTTAGGTTCCAAGTGGAACATAGTGTTTCAACAGCATATCTCCATTTCATCATGTTGCCTACCATCATTTCTAGCTAATATATATATATATATATATATATATATATATATATATATATATATATGGACAGCTGGGAAAATATTGCTCTTAATACATTTAATCCTACTCCAAAAATATGACGGAGATATGTGGATGACACTTTCACAGTGTTAAAAAAACACACAACATATCTCTAGCTCCTTGACACATATAAATTCACTAGTAAAAGGAATAGAATTCACATTTGAATCGGGAAATGATCAAGGAGAATTAGCTATGTTAGATTGTAAAATAAAACGAATAGAAGAAGGTAAACTGCAGACTAGCGTACATAAAAAACCAACACATTTTAATAGATATTTAGACTTTGATTCATCTCATCCTTTATCTGTCTGTGAAGGCAGGCTTAGTTAAGTGTCTAACAAACCGAGCAATAGCACTAGGTAGCACAAGAAAAGACCTAAACGATGAAATAAAACATAGAAGAAACGTTGGTGTTGAATAATAACTATCCTACAAAGTGCTATCCCTTTGACTCAACTAACCGACACTGTTGTCAATAGGCATATGAACTCTTGTAAACACTTCGCTAAAGTTATCTTGTCTTATAGTGAACATCCTCTTTATTCACAATTGTTTCCTTGCATCTCTTCGGGTAAGACCGGAAGAAATTTCATAAACATTTATGCTCGTACTACAAAATATAAAAATTCGACCGTACCATATTTGGCACGAGTATTGTGTGAAGAGACAAATATCAGAAAAGAACTTTTACAACTTTTAAATCATTAACTAAACTATAAGATGAAATGATGCATATTATTGCATGTGTTATTTGTTATATTATTTATTTATTATTCACTATGACCTAGCAATGGTGTGATTTTGTTGGGGTTTTTATTTTTTTTCCTATTAACTATCAATATTTTAACATTTTATACATTTATATAATTATAAACAGAGCTAAACCATTGCAATATGTAAAAGAAACGCTGAAAATTCCATGCTGTAAATTGTTATTGTTGTGGAATAAAGTGATTATTATTATTATTATTATTATTATTAAGATCGAAAAAGACCAAAAGCAAATTAAAAATAATTGTGAAGCTAGTAATGATAACATAAATAGGAGAGAATATAAGGCATCTGCAGTTTTTCTCTATAAGGAGGGGACTTTTGAGACCCTACGTAGGATTCTCAATAAAGCAGGAATTAGGGTGGCATTTAAACCTACAAACTCACAAATTCTGTAGGTTAAAGGACGCTGTAGGTTGACCCAATTAGACAATATGGTATAATTTACAAAATACCTTGCAATGACTGTGCGTTAGGTCAACTACATAGGTCAAACTAGTAGATCGGGGGTAGTCAGATTGTCGGAACATAAGAATTTAGCTAAGGTAAGAATGATTGACCCCACGAAGACAGATGAGTAATTTAGAAAAAAGATCAGCAATCGCACTACATGCATTGACACAAAACCACACAATAGGGTTTGAGAGGGTTAAAATTCCAAAAAGTAATCTAGGTAGGTGGAGAGAGAGTTTGATTACTGAATCCTGCCTGGTTCATCAAGTCTACACCCAACACAACACATGCAACAGAAATGACTCAATGCAAATACTAGAGATATGGGAGATATTATTACCACCAGTCAGTCAAATCAAAGGAGGATAATAAATAATCTTAAAATTCTATTTCAATTCACGTACATCATAACATTTTAACAAGTTACTTATTTTGACTATAAAAACACTCGTCTTATTTCCCATCTGATGGTAATTGACTGATAACACTCACATTATAATTTCTGAATGTACATTATCCTATGTTGATTTTTATTCAAATATCTAATGAATTCCACTCATGTATATACATGAAGAAAAACGTTGTGTGAGTGACTTGATATGATTATGAGCAACAGTTTGTGCTCGAAACTTGGTCATCAGTTAATATTACTATATAACACACTGTGTGGTTTATCAAAATAAAATCCTGTCCATAATGGAGTTATACTCTACCACAGTGCCCAAGTTTTATACTTATGTCATTTTTAGCTGGCTCCACGATTTCCCATACGGCTTTATTTCCTCCTGGTCACACGATCTCCTCTATGTTACTGTCGGATGCACGCCCAACATTTCAATTCCCAATTTGGTTCCACTCGAGGCTTTACCTGGCTCCTCATGTTTTCAGTCAACAGTTTGCTGAATATGTGTCCAATTCATCTTCAGCTACTTTTGCAATTGGTTCTTGGGTGGTTCGTTGTGAGAGTTTCTTTTGGTAATACTTTCTGATTGGCAGTCTGATCTTCAGTATGGGGTGAAAGCAGCTGTTCTGCTTCTGTTGGCAGTATATCTTAGAATTACCTTCTGTCTTTTCTTTTAAGTTGAAACTTACTGTCATTACCCTGAAAGAGACTGATTCCCACTGGATACGAACTGTCGATGCTGTCGGTAACAGCATGACAACCTTTCCCTCAGTTTTGCTCGTGTTTGTCGTCTGGGTGACTGGAGTAGATGATTGATTCTTCGAGAAACAATTTGGAGAATCCACTGCCATTTCATCTGCCCTTACACATTCCTCACGCTGGTCAGATTAAAATATGATACTCGACAAATGTTTTTCTCCCTACTCTGGGTCTCCCATTCTTTAATGATGACAACCAGCCACTACCACTCGAAGTAATGAATCAATCCTGAAAATTTTTTATTGCCAAGCAAAAATATTCTTGATCATTCGTTAACAATATTCACAAGTCTATCCTCCCGTAATGTGTACCTGTGTGTTAATCTTCCCCGTCCTATTAAAAAACAATAAACATTGCTCTCCACCAAAAAAAAATTAAAATTTTGTGTCTGTCCTACAATCTCAAGGTCACTAATCACAATTCAGCAACACCAAATTATCACTATCACACACTTCTGAGGTATTATTTAACCTATATTCAGTACAGTTTTATCATCAGAATAACTGTAATATTGCATTTCTGTTTTTTTGTCAATCCTTTCCTGTTTATCACAGTGTCGTATATATCCCGATGGTACAACAAAAACTGTCTTTCCTGATGGTCGTCATGAAACTCGTTACAGTTCTGGACGACTACGAGTTAAAGATGCCAATGGTACCCTACTGTTGGATACACGATTGCCTGTCGCTTCCGCGTGTCATCCTGTAATGAATAATAGTAATAATCTTGATAACTTAGTTAGTCGTATTCCAAATGGTTCCTCCAGTGGTGATTCCTTAAAAAATATCACTTCCAAATGCACAAATTAGTCACTATTGAAGATGGGAAATCCAACCTTTAACTTTGTTTATTTCTTTTCAAATGATATGTACAAAATTAGCCCATATATATTTATTACATTTTACTGTTCTCTACACTTTTTCAAAAGTGTACTCGGCTGTGATCTGTAATACCCTTCATTTTCATTTTTTTATTTCACTTAAGTTGGAAAGAATAAAAATAGTTTTATTATGCTTTGCTTTAATTTTTCGAATGTTGGTTGATTCAGATTTTTTTTCTCCTAACATGCAACGTATGGTATCTTGAGTCTTCAGATTAAATTACACATCTATAAACTCGTTCATGATGCATACATGTTTCGCGGATAGTTTCCTACTCTACACCTAACAGCCAATCATCGTCGCCTGCCAAAAAATCAATATATTTATGCCTGAATATGTCTGTCTTACAGACACATATTTTATTGATTCTGAACGGTCCAATCACAATTCAGCAATCATGTGAATATCATGGGTAATGCGTATTTCGTGTAAAAAAAGATGAGAAGTGAGCTGTAGATCCCAGTGTTGTGTACATATTTATGGTAGCTTATGTAGTGTGTGTGATGAATAAAGAAGTACTTAAATAATTTCTCTTCATTTTTTGGACAAATTTACTCAAGAAATTATAACATGAATGAATTTTTATTCTGTTTTTTTATTGTTTCTTTTTTTTACGTTCGGACTTTTTATCACGTCATGTTAGATTGAATTACACTTCAGAAAAACAAACTATCTTCTGTTTCTTTACACGCTATACTACTCTACATTATAAATATATTGTATATTAGTGAGATTATCCTAATGATATCTATATAAAATAGCTTGTTCTTTCAATATTGTTGTTATTATTCATAGGTGGCAAATGTGTTCCACAGCACAGAGAATGGAAGAGAGAATCCTCTTGAATTTATTTATTTGTCAGTTTTCACTTCCGTTTTCTCTTTTTTTTTGTTTTTGATCTTATGAACTCTGTTATAATTTCAAGTCTTTGTTTGCACAAGAAATATGTATGTATGTATGTATGGGTGCGTGTGTGCATGCCTACCTCATGATAGTATACATAAAATACTATTGATTAATATTGGAGTGTTTTTCACTGTTCCGATTAATTATGCAATAGTCTTTAAATGTAAATTTCATTACAAACTGGTGTCAGTTAGAGAAGTTGCAGAGCATTGGATAGCTACTATGTCATTGTTTGGTACTCCTCACCAGAGGCAGACATAGAACCCGATACCAGGTCATGGGATGGACTTACTGACCGTTCACACAGCTAGCTGATATCCAATGATGCAAATCTACAGGATGAACATCCTGAAGTTCTTATGAGAAGACATGGTTACTTGAATCCATCATGTAGAGTGTCAAATGGATGTCCACTGGTCGAGAGTCGATTGACAGAAGTCCAACAGCTTGTTGAACCTCGAACCAATAATTCAATGATTAACTCTCTTGTGTGGTAGGCTGAAGAACTTGGATTAGTTCCCAGTAAGTTTGCTGGTGTGAAATGATGAAGAGTCCTGAACTAGAACAAACTAAGTGTTCAGCTCTACGTGGTGTCGAGGATTTTCTAACTAATTATCGGTTCTTGATAAAGTGAACACTAGAATCAACCAAACACTAGATGAG